CACCACTGATAGAAGGATAAACTGATTCACATACATACTCACTATAACTTTATTTATAATATATAAAATAATGTTACAAAATACGATTTAGAAACACTTTAAGCTCTGAAATGGCTATATGAAGCCCTTAAAGGTATCACATAGGAAACGTTTCTAGTGATATAGGGAAACGTTTATTCTACAGTGATGTTCACAAAGTGGAACGTGAACATATATTTATGTGATCCTAGCGTATAAAACAACATTACAGACCGCTAAGAGTGAGTATTTCTATGACCTGGAGTCATAGAAATTGATTTTTCGTCTTTTCTCTACACTTTCATTTATTTTATAGTTTTCTGCAATTGGCACCCACTACTTTCTTATAAACAGGAAAAAGCTTATCTAAAAATGGCCACAGTGACTCAGCAGTCTACCCTTTTGCCCTTTGAAGGAAGCACTGGCTGGTCATTAAAAAGCTCATTGTCGTGAGAACATGATTACCAGGATTGTTATAAAACGAAAAGAACAGGGCAGACTTTGGGGCTGGCAGAACAGTGTCACGGGTTTCCAACCACATATCCAGACGCTGTCATGTGAAACGTTTAGGAAAAGCCAGGACTAGACTCCAACCTCTCTGTCCCAGCTTCCTAAAGTCTGTACGTGTTTCCAACAGGAAGCACAATCGGACATCTTGGCACTGTGCTGGGAATGTGCGGAACATGAAGATGGCCCCTCACTCAAGAAGCTCCACTGTGTGGTTACGATGTGGACATAACACATGTAAGTGAAATAACCCAAAGACACCAAGCACATTTTCATTCATTAATTAAAAAAAAAAGAAATTCTCTGTATGCTGACATCAGTCCAGGAAAGCTCAGGAATCACTGAAGGTTTTAATCAGGTAGAAAGTCAGGTGGGATGTTGGGGGTTGGAGAGCGGCTGAGCATGGGCTAAGAAGGGACACAGCCTGAGCAGATGCTGGACCATGCAAAGCTAGAGTGGAGGAAAAAGGAGCTGGGCCTCAGTGGAACACTGAAAGTTCAAGTCCTAAGTGGAGCCAGATGGTGGAGAGCCTCAAGCACTGGACACGGGAGGTGGGCCTGACTGTATATATGAAGAGTTGAGGAGGAGAAGGAAACCATCTCCTCCACAGGCCTGGGCCTGCACTTCTGGGCTCCAGTTTTGTTTTGTTTCACTCTCCATCAAAAACCTCTAAGTGTCAGTTGGAAAAAAAAAAAAAATGAGGAAGTTAAAAACAAAGGCTCCAGGCTCTGTCTTCAAGTCAAAAATGTTTAATAGTAATGATTTTTGGAAGCCAGTTGAATCAGGATTCAAACAGGAGAAATGGGAGGGAGCATTCAAACACAGTATCCTCTCTCCCATCCTGCTTCATTCCAGGGCAGTGCAGGCAATTTTCTGTAGCATGGTAGTGTAAATCAAGGTCCCCACCCTCGAAATCCATCCCACTTCCCAAAATACCAAATCCCATTAGAAACATAGGCTTTTACTAAAGTTGTCAAATATTCAAAACCATGCAAAATACATTGGGAATTTTCTCAAACCATGGGCTAGACTGGTTAAACTTTTCATCATACCATCAGAGAACAGTTGGATTCAGTCACCTTTTAGAGTATTGATGAACAAGCAGCAATGCTCCAAGAATCTCCAACGACATTCAAAGGGGGCCTTCTGCCCCTTGAGTTTCCAGAGACTTTAAACAATAAGGTGCTGCAGAGGGGCAGCTGCTGAGGCTTGAGCTGAGATGGTCCCTCACACTTTGTTTCTGAGTGTCACTGCCATCTCTGTCTGGAGGGAAGAAAAGCACAAACAGGAGCAGAGCAGGCTACTCAGTATTGCCAGGGGCCTAGTGGAGGCAGCACAGATTCAGGAGATCAATGTCCTAACAAGGGCTTGCTCAGCACCAGGTCTCTGTCAAAGGATCTCTGATGAATCCCTGTTCTCATTTCTGGCCTTCATTTGGGTCCTTTGAATGGAGCTGCCTTCTCTCCAAGCCTGACCCATGCTCTTTGTTCCACTTGGTCCCTTTCTGTTTTTGCAGAACAAATGCGGCATATAGAATCAGACAGCTGTGGGAAAGGAGGGCTGCTCCCCATGCGGTCCCCTGAGGAGCTGAGCCCCAGGGTCTCTGGGTTCCTCCCCAGGTCACCAATGGCTGCCACACACTTCACAGCTGGATCCCACCTGGCACTGCTGGCCAAGGCTCACAGGGCACCACTTGGTACTCTGGCTCCAGTGCGTGCATCTCAAAGTTTGCAGCTAGGCGTCCCTCATAACCCCTGATGTAAATGGCTGGTTTATTCACATGGAAAATGCCCACAGATGAAGCCCCAGTGTGCAGACTACTGTTTTACAGGCCATTTTGAAAACACTCTTCTGAGTAAAAAAAGTAGTAAATTTTTAAAAATAATGAGGAGTGTAATGAAATGGGCATTTACATACATCTAGAAGGACCACAATTAGCAAGTTTTCTATAGGTCAGTTTGGCAAGATGTCCTAGGATCGCTATGATAAGCTATCTTGACCCTGTGATGGCTCTTCTAGATATCTAATCCAGGGAAAAGTCAAATTCCAAGCAAGATTCCTATAAGCTTCTTCACTATCACAAAGGTGAAAAATGGAAACGACTTGTCAATTGCTAGTGTAAAGGATAAATCTATGACATGGACTATTCAGTGAAAAGAGTGTCATGTGCAACACAATGGTTATTGTAAAATACATCAGCATATGGGAAATGTTAGTGAAATATTAACAGTGGTTCTATGTATATGGTGGGATAAAAGGGCTTTTTAAAAAATATTTTCTAAATTTCCTAGAACTAGTATATATTACTGTTGTTTTCAGGAAATTAAAAAAAAAAAAACTATAGATGTTTTAAAAGTAATGAGTGCTGGAATGGGATTTCATCACCAGGTGACATCATGTATGTCCCAATAATGAGTTCCCAAAGCAGGGCAGATGACATTACAGAGAGAGTCTGACAGTGATCCTCAGCCCAGGCTCATATCCTAGGAATCTGCAGAGCTTTGAAGACACACCAGTGCCCACCTCAAACCCAGAAGTCTAGATTCAATTGAGGTGTGGCTTTTATAGCTCTCCAGGTGGGTGTTTCTGTAGCTGTGGTGAGATCCATGGCTCCACGGGTCTTCCATACCTTCCTTCACCTTCAGGACCCTGCTGACAGTGAGCCTTGTCCTCCACCTTGTCAATACCCACCCTCTATAAGGATGTGAGAAATTCCCCCAAGAATGCTTCCTATGGCTTCTGGCATTTAGGCTGAGCAAATCCTTTAACCCAAAAGCACTTCAGTGGGGACTCTTCAGGCCTTCACAGCTGCCTAGGAGAGACTCTTCCTCCTGACCTCAAATCCAAGGGGCAGCTGATGTCTTGTGAGTGGGTCCTGGCTGTAGGTTACCTGGGACTTCCTGTCCTGGTAGGGTGGGTTAGAATAAGTTTGCCAGGGGGAGGTCAGGACCTTGAGAAGATGCAGGGCATGAGCAGAGAGGGAGAGCTGGACATTCACTGGTATGACTTTCCCTCAGGTCCCCTGAAAAGGGCAGGAGAGATGGCCATCCCCAGGCCACTGTGGGGCAACCATCTATCCTTCGTGGGCATCATGATCCTGACAGCTGTGGTCATCTCCCTGCTGTTCTACGCTCTCCTCTGGAAGGCTGGCAACCTCGCTGACCTGCCCGACCTGAGAATTGGCTTCTACAACTTCTGCCTATGGAACGAGGACACTGGCTCTCTCCAGTGTCACCACTTCCCTGAGCTAGAGGCCTGGGGTGTGTCTCAGATTGGCCTGGCGCTGGCCAGGCTTGGCGTATACGGTGCCCTGGTCCTCACACTCTTTGTCCCCCTGCCTCTCCTCCTCGCCTGGTGCAATGGTGACAAGGGAGAATGGCAGCTGGCAGTGGGCTTCTTGGCAATGTCCTCTGTGCTGCTAGCCGGAGGCTTGGGCCTCTTCCTCTCCTATGTGTGGAAGTGGGTCAGCCTTTCTGTCCTGGGGCCTGGCTTCCTGGCACTGGGCCTGGCCCAGGTTTTACTCATCCTGTTACTTATGGCCATGGCTGTGTTCCCTCCAAGGGCCAAGAAGGACAAGTGCCAGCTGTTAGACCTATCTAAAGGCTTAAGTGATTGTGAGGGTTAGTTCTAACTACAGAGAAGGTGCCAGAGAACCCAGGAGTTGGCACATCTTCTCAGCCATTTTGTTTCATAGCTAATGCCGTTCTCAAACCCCAGCAGATAGAACTCTGCAAAGCAGGTGGGTCCCCAGTGTCAAGGAGACCAAGGTAGTAAGGGCGGCCAGGCCGGCTGCGGCTTCTTAGTGTAGGATTGCCTGTACTTCAGGACTTCTGCGGACACCCTAAAAGCACATGGCTCACTGCCACATGATTTCCTGCTTTATTTAACCCATCTGGGCAATTCTTCCTCTAGCTTTAGGAGGTAAAGATTCCTGTTATGGGGTCAGATTTGCAGGCTGATTTATAAGAGAGCCAAACTGGAATCAGTGAAGGTTTATGGGAACAAACAGGACCACTATGAAAGGGCACCTAGTAGCAAGCCTTCGCTCAATGAGGAGTGGCTTGCTGCAATAAGCCCCTCACCAGGACTCCACTCCCATGGCCCAGGAACGGCTGAGGGATCCAACAGACAGAACACACATGGCACAAAGAAAACTAGGTTTGGAAGGTCCTTCCACAAAGGACGAAGCAGGAATCAGCTGGCAAGCATTCCTATCATTGTGACCCTGGAGGGAGGGGCAGGATGCTCCTGATCCTTGGGCAGGAGAAGGTGGACTGGACCAAATGGATCCACACACAGGTGCTACATCCCCTCACTTCTCCACCCATAACTGGAAAGGACAGAAGCACAACAACTTGTGCACTGGAGAACTCTGTATTTTTTGTCACCTGTATGTTGAGAAACCTGTATGGCAACAGTTTACTCCTTCTGCTGCCTTTCCAAAGCCACACTGAATACAGAGGCAGAAACATGGACTCTGGTGTCATCTTTTATCCTTAGTGTATGGTTTCCCAACCCACTCGCACTTTAAACCTGCCCAGGAATCAGGGTAGAGGCTTCCAGGTGGAAGAGAGGCAGCAGCTCAAGGCGGCCTGTCTGGCTTACCAGTCTCTGGTTGGAAAGTCTCACCCTCCCAGGTGGAGCAGAAACTATGGGCAGCTCGTGTCTTCAAAGCTGGAGGGCGAGGGCCTCTGATGGGGAGGGATCATGCTACAAAAGCCTGGGAATCACAGTTATTCAGTAGCCATACTTTTCCTTGAAAATTATTGTCTCTTGGGTTCTTAAAAGTTGGACCCCATGACCTCATTTTCTCTAGAATAAGACAGACAATTGGGATTCTATCCCCCTGTGCCAGGCGGGATGCAGTGCGAGGAGAAACTAATGGGAATTTGGTTTGGGTCCTCACTGTCACACTGAAAATAGTAGCCCCCCAGGAGGCCCAGGGCACCTGGAGCTTCTGATCTAGGATGAATCTGCCAGGCCCAGGGAGGTGCAAAGCTGGGCACACAGGCAGCCACATCTGCACCCTAGGGGTGGGGGTGAGGGGCAACAGCGGCAGCAGCACCCTCTTCCTGCTGCTCTCCGCAGAGAGTCCAGCGAGCTGTTTATCCTCAGCTGAAAAATATCTCCCTGACATATTTCAACACATCTTCCTCCTCTGCTTCCTTGGGGCTTCTGCTTGTAGAGCTGGAAGTCCCCTGCCCCTGGGAAGGGCGGAGGCCCCAGGCAGCCTTGTCTTTCCCACCGTCCTCTTCCTCGCTGCTGCTCCCAGGAGAACTTGTGTGAGGAGACACAGAGCAGATGGGGGAGAGCTCCAGCTTATCAGCATCCACCAGAGGTGACTGCTCCTGGGGCTTTTCCTGTTTACGGCACTGTGGAGCAGAAGAAATGGCAGGCTCAACGTCCATCAGTGAGGCAGGACATATCCAGAAGCAACTGCAAAGCCAGTGTGCGACCAGGCCAGGCCCCGCTCCCACCCCACTCCTCCCCAAACTCCTCAGGTTCTTAAGTAACCAGAACCCACTTGGGAGACAAGCCAGCAGGGGTGTGGGGAACAGCTGAGCAGAAAGAAGAAACCAATAGGAAAATGTGGCGGGAATGAAGGGTGAGAGCATGGAAGGGGCCCAGGCTATGTCACAGAACCAGTGAAACCCCCGAGTCCCAGCTTCTTCAGGGTAACACTATCTGAATTAGTAGATAGGACACTGTGTAAAAAGGCACATGATAAACACAAGGTGATGTCCAACTGTAAGGTGGTCCAATGATTACTTCAGGAAGACAGTGACTTCCCCATGTTCTGCTAAGGAGAGGTGCCCACGTCCAGAAGGATCTTGGCCAACTGAAACCCTTTCTGAGAACACAGGCCAACATTCTGTGTCCTGCCACATACCAGCACAGAGTCACAGTGCAAGCTGTTCCTCACACACACCCAGCCCAGGTGTCTCACCCCACATCGGGGAGGCTGGGGGCAACATGGCTGAGGGACAAGGGAAGGAACAGACGGAAGAAGCCAGCTGACAGGAGCAGAATCCTGACAGTGACCAAGGGCTGTGGCTAGTTTCTGTCCATGGAGTCTCCGGTCACAAGAGTAAGAAGGGACACAGCTGACTGTACCTCAATCAGGATCCCCAGAGCCACATCCACCATTTCTGCTTCATTCATGCAGTACACAGTCTTCATGGCAGGAGTTCTGCAACACAGACATGAGTCACGAATGGGGAAGAGGGTCTCCAGGCTCACAGGGGCAAGGAAAGGACAGCAAGAGGGCTGCATCCCAGGCCTCCCCACCAGGGATGAGCACAACAGTGCCTCCGAGCTGAGGAACTTCCTTGAGGCAGGAATATGACTTCCTCCTCCCAGTAGCCCAGTGCTGACCTCAGGCCCTCCCACCCTCCACCAACTCCTGATAAGGAGCTGGGACTGGGGAGAAGCCTGGCTCCTGAGAGTCACACCTTGAAACACACACAGTGGATGTGAGCAGATGTGGGCCTTCGGGCCAAGACTTGACTGAAACAGACCCGAATGCATGAACACATTCAATCAAACACCCTGCTACAATCTCAAAGGGAGGCTGGCCAGAAACGGAAGAGCTAGGAAATAGAGTGCTGAGGGCCTGGGCCTAAGAGTGGCAGGGATGCCCCATCCTGCTTGATGCTGGCACCCTGAAGACCCCCCTTCCCCACATTACCGTCATTCAACTAACCCACGCATGGTTCCTGACTTCTTGCTATACATCTGCCTGTCCCCAGAGCTCTCTTCACAGGAAGAACAGGCACCGTTCAGGAAGCCCGGCGACTGGTCCACTGGACTTGTCCATGTGATGTTATAATTTTTGGTGTAAATGTAGAGAATAGTATTCTGACAACTGGCATTTTGGAGAGCTTGCTAGTATTCAAAAGCCACCTGTGTGTGTGCTGACGGTCCAGGCTCCAGCAGTGGAAACCTCAACGGCACAGGGCCAGAGGTGGGCACCTGACTGCAAGCTCACCTTCCTTTCTAAGAGTTCCAAAGTGTGGGAAGAAAAACCCACCCATCTCACTCTCAGCCAATTACAGCAGGCCCAAGGCCACTGAGAGGCCCTCTTCCCTCCTGAGCTTCCCCCAGGAGCATCCTGACCAGAGGTTGGCTTACCCTGCTGCTACTGCTGGCCCTGTCACCACTCTCCTCTGCTTGGGAGTCTTCACTGGCACCACCCTACTTTCAGACACCTGGGCTGTCATCCAGCAGGGAAGGACCCTGGTTTTGTTCTTAGATTTTAAGGTTTCCATCACTGTAATTTCCCCCAATAAGGAGTCAGGATCTGAGTGACTTGCTTGACTCAGGACAGGACAGCAAATCTTACTCCTGTCACATCAGGAATTAGAGGCCTCATTTTTCCAAAAGGGCACCAATCTTTAATGCCTACAAAGAAGAACAAAGTCTGGTAAGTTCTAAGCTAAAACACTTCCAGTCAGCCTGGGGCAGGCCAGAGGTGAGCCAGAGGGTCACCAGAGCCCAGGAGATGGGGCATTCTCAGCATGTCCAGCAGGTGTGGCAATCAAGATGATGGGTTGGGGAGACAAGCCCAGTGACTTGCCCCAGTGCCCCACAAGCAGACACCCCCCACCCCAATCACCTCCCTTGTAGCCTCTGCATTAATGGAACCAGCACTCCCAGAGGAAGGAAGGAGAGGAGGCAAAGCCAGGTGATTTCTCCTCCTCCACACTGCAGGTGCTACTGTCCTCAGAGCATCCAGCCAATCCAACTCCCAAAACGTCTCCAATGATCTCTCTCAAATTTGCCCCAGGTCCCAGCTTCTCACTTCCTTTACAGTGAGAGGGCCTTAACAACCCCCAGGCAATTCTGATTCACAAAAAGGTTTCATTGGTCACCCTCCCTGCCTTAATCTGAAGCTTCTTCTGATTGGCCAAATTTTAACCTGCTAGAGGGGTCAGGAAGTTTTAACTGCTTGGCTCCCCGGATTTGCAGAAATCAAATCTCCCTGGCCCCCACCAAGCCTCTGATATAACTTGGCTTCCCTTTCCCTACCCCGAGTTGATTCCACCTGGGCCCCTCCATCCTTAAACATCATCAGTCCCCACCTAGAAAAATCTGTGACTCACAGACCAGGACATAACTTTCCACTTAGGAATCAACCTAAGTGTTCCTAAGAACATCTTAGGGGGCCGAAGTTTGCCTAGAAAGGGGTAGTCAGCGAAGAATAAAACCCCTCTCTGAATCATAACTTGAAAATTTATTGCTCATCCAAAATGGCCGTTTACAACTTAAGAAAAAAACAGCAGGCCAGCATCTTAATCTACAGCCCAGGGGACAGACCTTGGCCAATGTACTTTAATTTCTGTTTAAATTATTGGACGTTGATAGTCATTCCTACCGTCTACTGAGCACCCAGTGCTGCTTAGTAGAAATTTATTAGATCGGGAGATGCATATCATTCATTCCACTTTACAAACAAGGTACTGAAACCTAGTTATCTTGCACAGGTCTCAAAAAGTTCAGCCATCCAGGATCTCAGCCTGGACCTGTAGACTGCCAATCCTGTGCCCACCCTGCTTCAGGCTGGCAACGTCCCCTGAAAGCACGTTTGGTGCAGCTCAGTGCTCACTGGTGTTAGACCTGGTAGACTTCAGAAAATCTCAGCCAAAGCCCCTCACTCCTTGGGTGAAAACGAGACCCCGCAGGAACAGGATCTGACAGCATTTCTCATCCGTAACCTGCAGCTCGCTCTTGGGGACCTTCTCCTGACTTTGCCCCTACTGTACAGTGCCGACCCACAGGAAAGAACACGCAGGAACTCCTTGCACCTCGCGGACCGCGGCTGCCCAGTCACGAGAGCTGGCGCGCGGCCCCTTCCGTTCCGTAGACGGCGCCTGCACTGGAGGAGCGCGCCGCATCCCCTGCCCTTGCTGTGCTGCCAGGTCTTGGGCCTCCTTCTAGGGGTCGGGAGCGAGTCCCGGAGGCGGATTCCGGACGGTTGTGCCAGCCCAGCTCTGCCCGCCCCTTCCGGCTACCCGCTCTTCTGGCGCGCGCGCGGAGGCCGGCGGCGCCCTCTGCAGCCAGCGCAGCGCCAGTCTTCTTGCCTGCTGCAGCAGGAGAGGCTCTGTCCGGCTTTTGGAAAGTCAAAATGTGGATTCCCAGGCCCCAGGGTCCGAAATTAGACGGAGGGAAGAGGGTTCTGTATTCAACAGCCCCGCCCGGGATCTCACGGGAACCAAGTTTAGTGCTCCCCATTGGCGACGCATCCCGGAGAAGGCGCAAGATGGTGCAGGGAGAGAAATCAAAAGCTCTATTCACGTCGAGGAATCAAATAACGTAGGAGTTACTAATATTTAATATTCAGATTGGCAGCCCAGGGCTTCCCTATGCAGAGACACGGGCAGCTCCACTTACCTGCCCAAGTGTGCTAGTTGCTTCCAGCTATGCTGAACGCTATAATTAACAAATGAAGGTAGCCTTGGTTCAAATCACACTTGTGACTTCAGATAGCCTAAAAGAGGACTGAGGTCAGAGACCGACTGAAAAGACCAAGGCAAGCAGTCACAGGGGAGGTCTTCCTCTGCATTTGGGGGTAAAATACGGTCTGCCCCCAAATGAGAAAAGACAGTTGTTGAACTGTGATTTCCAACTGGTCCGCTAATAACAGCACAGTTACTATTTAGAAAGGGGACAAAGTTTTGAGCCCCCTTTTTCTGGACCAGGAAGTGCTCTTTTCCCCCTAGGGTGCCTTCAGTTTCTCCAGAGAACCTCCCAGGCTCTTCTGGAATGCTAATCAATGCTAGGGAAGTGGGCTGGGTGGAAATTTTAAATAAATCTAGGCCTAAAAAATAAACCAGTGGTCTCAAATCCCCTACCAGTCAGCCACTGTAGGGATCGACTTAGCTATGGTTGAACCAGGCCAGCCTCCAGGCTCTGCAGGACTGGCCACTGGGATATTGGTTTCTCTCTGGCCACCACTAAGGCATCAGTCACTGACCTCAAAGGTCCTGGCTTTCATAGGCCTTGAGTCAGCACAATTCTACAGGGCTGGAGTAGAATCACATCATTTCCTTTTGTGAATAAAGGAACAGAAAATACTTGCTCAGTAGAACTACTCCTGTACATTTCGCTCCTTAAAACCTCTCCACAGCCAGCTGGAAAATAGGCCTGTGTGTCTGCATAGTCTTGGTGTAGGGAGAGGCCCTGGATGGGCAACAAACCCAGCTGTGAGATCTATAAGCACTGGCAACACCTGAAGCACATGGGGTTTGTTGTTTTTGTATTTTTATTTTTAAATTGACAGATGAAATTGTATTTTTGTGTGTGAGCTAACATGTAATGTTAATTAACTGGATTTAGTCAGTCCACATTGTATACACACTGTACTCTCAAACATCACACTGAGCTTCCTGGGCATTTGAATATCACATGGGGGCTGGGTTTTGGCCTGAGGCTTGGGGTAGAGGCACAGGCAGATACCTGAGGAGAGGGCAGAAGGAAACCAGATGGGGAAATACACCTGAAGGGCCCTCAGCGCAGGTGAGGGGTTCATGACTTGAGGCCTGGCCTGCCTCCATGGTTTTCTTTTATTCTACCCTCATGGAAGATAACAGTAGGGAACCTTGGGTCCTTGGGTGGAAATACGCAGGTGTTTTGAAGGAGAGATTAGTGTGAGTTTCCAACAAGCTTTGAGGATGAGCACTCTTCCTGGAGGTGGGCTGGGACAGGAGCACCAGGGGTTTGAAGTGTTGTGTTGCTGTTTTCCTTAAACCATTTCAGCAAGCTGTGGGGACCACATTGAAAGGAGAGAAAGGGTCATAAGGCAGGAACTTTGAGATGAGAAGAAAAACTGGACCATGAACTCTCAGATGAAACTCAAGACCATTTAGACTGTCCCCCAGAATCCTGGGGTAAGATAGATTACTCAGATGTTTCAGTGCCAACGTGAAGACATGGCAGTGGAGAAGTCTTCACTTTCTTCATTTTAGAGATGGAAATAGGAGAAACTGGGTAACTACTTACCATGAAGTCTCTGGTGTTTTCTTGTAACCAAGCCACATCCATATCTCTCTCTACTGTCCCTCAGTCCCAGCAGAAGACAGCCATTCCAGCCCTGCTCCAGAACTGGGCGGGAGCCCAAAGAAGCTATAAAATGACTATATTGAGTTGCTGGTGGCAGCAATTCCCCGTACATAGGTGACAAGGTCACCCTGAAAAGCATGGGAGCCCCCCAGGACCAGATCCACCAGTCTAACGTTAGCTCCTGCACTTGCCCAGCCTCAGCTGCCACTGTGGGAGAATCTTCCTCTTCAAGGTGCCCAGTTGGGGAGTAGCAGGCAGGCCTCAGGCGGGGGCATGGTCACCACTAGTCCAGGCTCAGCTCAGACTTAAGTGGTCAGACCTGAAACCCAGGGGTCCTTCTAGCCATATGGTCAGGGAGCTGGCCCTCTCACCACTTGCCAGCAGAGAATAAAAGTGGCTGGCACTGTTCAACTTCAAGGGCTTCAAGTTGGAAGAATGAGAGAAGCCACCAAATGAAGTGCTAGGAACAGCAGCTTCCAGATAACACTGGGCCACCAGCAGCAGAGGCCTGTGTACCTGCCCTCGTCCAGACAGGCTTCTGTAACAAAAGCCACCACCTCTCAGGGAAGACAGAACACTCTGGCCTCAACTTGAGCCCAGACAAAACAGAAGAGCATGCTGTGGGCCCATGTCCCACTCCCATAAAGCCCAGGTGAACTGATGGCCAGCGAGGCAAGTAAGAAAGACCTAGTGTGGGGAAACAAAGGCAGGGAGCCCACGGCTATCATCAGGGCAAAGTGACACACGCATCCTAGAAAGAGACACCAGGTGACTGCAAGAGCATTCTCTTTTTTTAAAAAAAGAAGAAAAATAAGCAGAGATATATTTATAAAATACTGTCAATCTCTCCTGGGCCAACACAGCCCCCATCACTGTTTCTCCTTCCCGAGCTTTCCTCCCGCAGTCAGAGGATCCTTCTCAGCCCATGACTTTGTTCTGTGGGAAGAACATGCCACCTGCTCCTTAAGGCTCCTGTTCTAGTCACTGAAGCTGGACAGTCCCAAGCCCCCTGGACAGTCTTTGCCTGAAGATCTGCTGCACTGGCAGGAACCTGGAAGGGGTGTGTCTGTTCTCCCCCAACACTAGGACAATACTGTTTCTGTGGTGTCACTTGAGGCAGGTCCTTCAGAGCTTATGGGCCAGGAGGGTGGTCAGCTTGATCTTGCCATCCATGGAGGCAGTGAGGCAGGTCCCACAGTCCATGGCAGTGCTCCAGTCCACAGTGACCACAGGGGCCCGGTGGCCACCCAGGCTCAAGCAGCTCTCCAGAACCTTCTCATCACCACCCAGCTATAAGAGAACAGGAGAGAAAATGAACCATCAGCAGACATCACTCATAAACACATCCATTTTATCCACTTCTGGAGGCTAAACTGCCTCAAGTCTGGGGCAGCCACCCAAACCCAAGGATGTGGGGAGGGCCACATAGCCACCTGTCCAGAAAGTGAACCGGGGAATGCCTCAGTTTCCTGACTACAGTCGGTCCACTTTATGTGGAAAACAAGTCCCTGCAAAGTTCCTTAAAAATGCCACTTTCTCTGTCTCCTTGACCGTGCTGTGGGCCAGTACCTCTGCACCCGCCTGGTGTTGCCTCACAGCATCGTCTGTCACTCGCTGACATCTGCTCATGACTCTGCTCATGTGTTTAAGGTTCGCTTCCCATTGCAGGGACACAAGCTGTAGGAGGGCAGGGTCTAGTTCTTTCCTGCAGTGTGGCCAGCCTACAGCACCCAGAATGGCCCTGGTACAGGAAGGCCTTGGATTAACGTGTAAATGAGGTCCTCTATCCCACCAGCACCACTATCCAGCAATTAGGCAGATGGGTGAAGGGTCAGCTACTAACAGAACAGGAAACGGAAGTAAGTGAAAGTACAGGGCTAAACAGAACAGGAGGTGTGAAGTGTTTGGCCTTCATGAAGAAACATTTGTAAAAGTGTCAATGAAATTGTTTATAGACTGTAAACTGGGACAGTTTTACAGTAGATTCTTTAAGCAATTGGAAGCCAGCATCAGTATTTTAAAAATTTCACAGGAAAATCTTTCAACTAATTAATTACAGAGTGAATGTGACTGCAAATCATATAAGTTGATCTGGGCAAATGAAAAGGCTGTGTGATCAAAAATAAAACACACACACACACACACAAACACAAACACAGACACAGACAGACACACACACACACACACACACACACACACACACACACACAGATCTCCACTCAGAGCAAAGTCCAGTCCACTGAAAACCAACCAGAGCAAACCTTTGGAGAACGAAATTAGGCTTGGATATCTCCACTGAGAAATGCACAATTATGAGAAATTGTGTAGCTAATTTGTAGGGACAGCAAGAAACAGCAGAACAACCACCCTCTGTAGAAAAGAGGAGCCTTGCTGACTGTGCACATGTCAGGTCAGTCTAGAAGCCTCCTCATTTCCCACCCTAGTACCTCCTCTGTTCCACATGTAGCATCCCTTACCTTGCCATGAACTCCTTGCTCACTTCTGCTATGTGGGGCCCAAGGCCCGCCTTCCTCTCTACCCAACTGCTCCTCCTCCTTCCAGGGCCTCCAACTCACAGCCTGCCACCTCCCGAGTCTTCCCTGAGGACTCAGTCCCCACCCAGCTTCTTCCTCTTGGAACTGTTCAACACCACATCATCTTCCTTCACCCATGGTGTTTCTTTTTGAGTGTGACCCAAGAGAACAGAGATCATATTTTATATCTCCCTGGTACACTCCATAGTCCCGAGTCCATGGCCTGCCACACAGCTGCTGTCCTATCTGTGGCAACAAGAACACTGAGAATATTTTACCTCATATAACTTCTTAGGCCTACAGACCAAATGTCAGTGTCAGGTGGTTAAAGAATTAACACTGAGGCTAAGAATTGAATTCACTAGGTACCTGATGAGGCCAAACACAAATCCTCATCAGTAGGTCTAATGAATAATACTAGTAAAAAGGAAGGTACTTGTAATTTCATACACTTATACAAAGAAAGCATATGAAACAGAACAGCTCTGACTTGAGAATTAAAACAAATGTGTAAGCTGAAGAACACATACAACACGAAAAATTTGCATTGTCAACAACTTACATTGTTGTTAAATATATGGTGTGTATGTGTGTGTGTGTATACCCCCTCAAATTTGTCTCAAATATGGACTGTGAAGTACTTCACTCATGGCCCGCCCATGGCCTGCCTATTTAGAGTAACTACAGTAAACCACTCAGTTTGTTTTCTGTGTGGGGGCATGCTTCCCTCTCCCACACTCCCCAACTCTTCTTGCTACTCCTCAGTGTTTTCTATAATAGGTTATTATTCCCAAGGAATGGGGTAAGGAGAAGGTCAGATGCTTGTCAAGGGCAGGACAACAGGTGCCTTATATTCTGTCCCAATCCCACCTTCTTTACCAGCACTAAGGTCCAGGCCCAGCACCAGTCTAGCCTGCAGCTAGAAGACTTCAGGTGCTGCCTTGTGTCCAGGACTTCTTCACTGCCATACAGGGTGGGACAGAGGGCCATGCTCAGCTTGGCCAGGTCCAGACCGCCAAGAAGCAGCTCCCTTGCCCACCAGGACTCCACCACCCAGTTACCTTGTAGATGACTCCCCCTGTGGCAGAGCATGTCAACATATAATTGCCCTCTGAGTCAAAAGCGAAGAGTCGGCCTCTGGGCACTTGAACCTGCTTGTAGCCGCTGTAACCAGACAGTACAAAGGGACCGGTGGCATCCGAGGGGAGGCTGTACTCAGATACTTTCAAGCCACTCTTGTGGATGTTCCATTGGATGAACTGCAGATAAAATGCACAACCAGAGTGCTCTTCAGTGGGGTGCCGGCCAGGCCCTATCCTGGATGGAAGCCCAGGGCCTGCCCAGAGCAAAGGCTGTTGAGGCAAACTGCCTCCTTCCACCAACAGTTCTGACAGCTTTAGCAAGCCCTTTCAAGTTACAGAGGCAGAACAGGGGTGGAGGTCCACAGGCCTCCCCAAATCCCACCTCTTACCAACGCACATTATTTTAAAGGATGAAAATCTAGAAAAACAGCAACTTCATTTCAAAGTCTAACTCTTCTCTTTGCTTTGGCCTGAGCCCAGGAGAGGAAAAGGGACAGCAAGTGGCTTTGCATGGATTTCTGGTCTCTCAAGCAGGTCAATGACTACTGTCATTATTATTATTAGAATTAGAACCTGACTAGATTTTTCTGACTTAGGATTAAAAGCACAGAGGACAAATTCCAAATCTATTTTCAGTTTCTCAGCAGTGCAACAATTGGACACTGCATGGTGTAGTTACAAAGCTAGCTTTGTTTATTGTGGTGCATATAATTCCCCAACCCACTTTATGAACAGGCTACTTGACTGTGACCACTTCTTTATTGGGAATCCTACCCAGATACATAGGAAGTTAAGCTTTATCTTAAAAATCCCTTCCTAGAGTTTTCCAATGAAGAACTGAAGCTGGGGCACAGTAGTGCACATCTCTACACCTATTTACTTGAGAGGTTGAAGTGGGAAGATCACTTGAGCCCAGAAGTTTGAGGTCAGCCTGGGCAACACAGCAAGACCCTGTCTCAAAAATAAAAAGAACTGACCCTTATAGTTACTGTTTTCAATGACAGCACAGGTCATTAGCATGAAATCCCAAAGGCACAGGAAGGCAGAGCACAGCCAAGTCTCTCTCCCACCTCTGCCCACCCTGGCTCCCTTTCTACCATTTTTACTGTTCCCACTTCCAATCATGCCCTTCCACAAGGGGAATCTACATGGGGCACTTCCTTATAGTTTTTTGGGGGGAGGGGTGGCTTCTTTTTAACTTCTTTGGACTCTGCTCAGGCCTGCTTGCCTCTGTGAAGCTGTCACTAGGCCCTCAGCAAGCTTCATGCATCCACGGCTGGTCATAAGGCCACCAATTACCAAGCTCACCAAAACACATCTTAGCTCCAAATATAGATCTGTCAGGGTGAGATGAGTCACTTTGCCATGAGGAGGACGGCTGTGGTACTCCCTTTTCCACTGCACTCATTAAACCCCACAAAGAGCCCGGGAGATAGATTACTATTTATCCCTATTTTACAGATGACAAAACTGAGGCAGAAAGAGGTCATGGCAATAGCAGAAAGAGTTCTGGATCCGCTGCCAGCCTGTCATGGTGTCCCAGCACTCGCCGATCCTGAGGGCACCTACCTTGCCATCCTCGCCGATGCTGTACACAGCATTCTCATCACAGCTGAACTCCACGGAGCAGACCTCCCCGCAGTGGGCCCGCCAGCTCATGGCACACTCGTGCTGCTGCATGTCTGAGGCCATCAGATGCCATTAAGACTCCGCACCTTGGAAGGCACCCTCCCACAGCAGGGGATCCTCTTGCCTTTACTCAGGGGGCACAGCTGTTCTGGGGGCCATGGGGCTACAAAACCCACAGGGTAACCCCTCCACATGAAGCCGGGCTACCTCTGAGCTGCAGAAGTAGCTTCTTTCACTAGGTTAAAAGTGAGGTTCAGGACTCCTGGCGGGAGCAGCATGGGGAGAGGAGGAGCTGGACATAGGCATCCTTCCTATTGAGGCCTCTATAATGTCCCCCAGGGCGCCCAGAGATCCACCAAAGATAAGATTGCCTTGTCCCATCCCAGACCCTGGGGAGGTCTCCCTGGGAACAGAGGGGAATGAGCCACCTACAGCTGAACAGGAAAGTGTTACTCTTGTGTCCTGTATCCTAAAGAGGCAACAATAAGTCAGATCAAACAGCTCAAAACCAAACTACCATTGAGCTGCGCCCCCCATGCCTACTGACATTAACCAAGTGGACTGTGCTGAGTGTTTTAAAAACTCTGACCAAGGTTAAGCTTTCTTGATTTGAAATCAGGGTTTTGCAATAGCCTCTATTGCAGCTAGGTCTCACAAAGTGGGGACCAGGATTGCCATGAGCACACTTGCATACCAAACAGCCGGATGACACCGTCAGCTGCTCCTGTGACCAGTAGGTTCCCATTGTGATTGAAGGCTGTACAGTTGACAGCAATGGGTTCTGGGTCCAGAGAGAACTGAAGCTGTTAAAGCCAAATAAAATCACAATTAGTAGATTATTCCAACTCAGATACAAGCATAGGAACCCAATGGATAATCTGCCAGCTCCTCCCTTCAAATACCTTTTTCTGGAAAAATTACTAAGCATTTTCCCTAGTGCTGGGCTGTGACCTCCTATGCTGTACTGTATTGAGAGGCAAAATCCACTGAGCCCATAAAGATCTGTTTTCCATACAGGCTGGCTCACTTATAAAATGAGTCATCTATATCTTAGTAATATACACATCATTTAAGTACATTCTAGCTAGGTCTAATTGCAAGATCACAATGCCTGCAGGGAAGAACACCTCATCGATTGACTTTCATCACTGGCAGCTCTAAGCAACAGAGGACCCACCATGCAAAGGTCATGCAGCTTCTCCATTCCCTGAAACATCTCCCCATGGCAACACTTAGAAATACAGGAGCTAACAAAACTACCTTACAGAACTCAGATTATATATAGAACTAGTGATTAATGAAGATTATCATTCCAAACAACATGGAACCCAGGAGCACTAAATTACCCTCCTGAGACTAAAAATGCAAGACAGAATGCTTTATGGTGTTATTTATACACACATGCACAGTGCTGAGCTGGCAAATAAAGAAATCCTCTGATGCCAGTAATGAGGGGAAAGCCAGACTCCAAAGGATGAGGGAAGTCTGAAACTGACCTTCACTATGGGGCATTAATCAAATATACATGACCCTAGTTCTCTTTCCGATTGCCAAGAAGCACTCAGAAGCCCCCAATGTCAAGACCTGTTCAAGGTCAGGTAGGAAGAAATCTCTGTGCACAGGTGGGACTCCAAAGAGCTATATTCTCAGAGCAAGAATAAACCAGAAAAAAACTTACTTTGCAAAACAGAATAAGGAAACTTACCTCTCTGCAAATCATAACCACAAACTTGCCCTGATAGGGATTTATAATCCAAATCCATAAATCCCTAAATAGTCCAAGAAAACCCTAGCAGAGAATTTATTTTTAAATTGTCAGGAGTTGGTAGTGCCCCCAGGAAGTGAATGCACCTCCCCCCAAGTCTCAAAATATTCTCAAGGATAAAGGTCCCAGAAACATAAGCCCACAACGGAAAAAAATCACAAGACACAGGAAAATAAGGCAAAAGGGGCAAACACCCATAGAAATAGCAGAGAAGAATGAGATCCACAAAGACTTCAGATATGGGAATTACCAGAGGTACAATGAATACACTGAGGATTTTTAACAAAATAAAAGAAGGAAACAAAATAAAGGGCAAAAATAGGAGACTCTAAGCCTGACAAAGCAGGTTTTAAAAATGAAGTTATGTTTCTAAAAATGAGAAATAGAGAAACTGAAATTAACATCCTAGTAGATTGGTTAATTAAAAGATTAGGCACCACGGACTAGAGAATTAGCAAACTGACAAAGCTGAAAAACTCTCATCATGAATGCAGCAAAGTAAAGCCAAAAAGAAGTGTTAATGCATACCTGACTGGAGTTCTAGAAGGGAAGAGATAAGCAGAGATCTACCTCTAAGACTGAAAAAACAATGACTAAGAATTTTCCAGAGTTAACAAAACATAAATTCTTGGATTCAGAAAACCTAAAAAATCCTAAGCAGGAGCTTAAGGAAAGAAGAAGAAGAAAAAAAAAAAAAAACTTCAAATTTAAAAATCCACACCCAGAGACCAGGTAAGATATTAAAGGCAGTCCAAGAGAGAAGAGAGCCCACAAACGAAAGCCCATTCCACTGACAACAAGCTTCGGTTTAGGCAAAGGAAGTGCGAAGATAAGACTAAGCCACAGAGTTAGGAGAATCAGTTTTCAACTTACAATATAAAGTTTGAGAAAAAATGATTATGACTCCATTCATAAAAGTTAGAAAACATGCAACACAAAACTATATTGTTTATGAATGTATATTTGTGTAATAGACTAATTTTTTAAATATAAGGAAATAGCAAACCAAAATTCAAGACAGGTTTTCTCTGGAAGAGGAGGAGGTGGAGACTGGAAAAAGGCAAAGAGTAATACTAATGTTCTACTTTTAAATTAGGCACTCATTTTACTGCATTTCTTCTCATTAGATCATCTACCTATGATTCAATATTCTTTTATATGTAGTCATTATTTAATTTAAAAATCTGAAAATCACAAGTGAATATAAGATTAAAAATCGTGCTAACAGGAGGATGGTAAGTTCAAGGCTAGCCTCAACAACTTAGGAAGACTCTGTCTCAAAATAAAAAATAAAAGGACTGGGAGTCTAGTTGTGTGTTACAAACCTCACCTAGCACACGTGATCCCTGAGTTCAGTCCCTAGCACTACAAAAAAATAAAAAGAGAGAGAGAACACATTACTTCTAAGTACTGAAACCACTAATTTTAATAAAAAAACACCACGCTTTCTAAGCAAGTGAGTTCAACATCGTCTCTCTCTAGGGCCCCAGTGACAGTGCAGGTATCTATTAACAGACAGCCAGAGACCTATCCACCACAGGTCTATTAACAGAGAGCCAGAGACCTGTGGAGGACAGGTCTCTGGCTCCAGGAAGGCAGGCCAGTGCCCAGGAGCTGGCTGTCAGCTGTCACTTCTTAGGGGCATGCACCTGTCCTCACTGCTGCCAGCTGCTGTTGTAATTCTCACACAGTTCTACCAGGAAGTCAGATGAAATAGAAGTTCTCTCCTAAGGTCACAAGGCCTCCTAGTAGGTTCTGGGTAACTTCTGTGTCTGTGGCACAATTCTGATGACTTTAGTCACTAACAATCCTCCCAAACAGAGTAACTTAATTTTCAAAACTTAAAGCTTAGAAATTTTTTCACAAATCAAAAATATGAGGAGACCAAAGCAAAGAGAGGGGAAGAGCCTCACCAGCACCACAGGGGAGCAACAGGCAGGGTGCCTCCACGTGGTGTGCGCACCCATGGGGGACCGGCCCCACAGCAGGTCCGTACCTGCTGCTTCATGCTCTTCGTGTCCCACAGTAGCAGCTTGCCAGGAACCTGGTTCATGCCCTTGCTGCCAATGTCCGGTGCCAAGGAGTCCACCTGGGAAGTGAGACTCGGAGCTGCAGCCGAACAGACGAAAGAGGCCCCATTGGGGCTGCACGCGAGAGACAGGATTCTGTAATACATGTGGGCGAGGGTCAGACAATCGCCTGCCCAAGGGGAGGACAAGCCTCAGCTCTGGATCCTGTTCCAGGAGATGGGACACTGGGCTCAGGAAAGACCTGGCCCTACAGAGAACCTGCAGCGAGCTGAGACCTTGACAAGTGAGGAGGAAGGGGCCTGGCTCACCTGGGCATATCATCATTAATGTTGATTTCACAGAGATTCTTCTTGGCTTCTGTGTCATAAAGACGCACTGTTCCCACACCACTGCCCAACAAGAGCTGGAATGAGAAGGGGTGGGCGTTGAAGGACAGTATGTGAGTCAGGGAAGACCACCAAAGGGGGCCCATTCCTGTGAGGTGCTGGACTGGGCAGGCTGCAGGGTGAGCCCCTTGTCCTCTTATCCAGGCAGTCAGAGGAAACCTGCCTATACTGGACCATGCTTCAAAATTAAAAATTAAATTAAGATGACAAAGCCAACCTCAGACAGAAGCAAAACCACAAAATTTATCTGCTATGGTTTGAATCTGGCCTGAATGTGTCCTTCAAGGCTCACATGTTGGGAGCTTGGTCCAGTTGTGGCAGTTGAGGGTGGAGGCACTCTTAAGAGGTGGGGCCTAGGGTAAGGTGATGAGGTCATTAGGGCACTGCTCTCAGAAGGGATTAACTCACAAAATGAGCTAGATGTCCCTCTGGAGAGTCATTATAAAAGAGAAATTGTGATCCCTGAACCAGCACTGGCTTTCTGCCTTGCCATGTATTTTCTTCCTCTAGCACACACTCCTACCATGATGCCATCTGCCATGTTGTGAGGCAGCTAACCCTGACTAGAGGAAATGCAGGCACCTCTACAAAGAAAAGGACGCAGTGGGGGGGGGGGGGGCTGTAGAACAACAAAAAAAAAAAAAAAAAAAAACAGAATAATGCAGCATCTGTGGAATGGGAAAAATGTGTCTCCTAAGATTCACCTGGAAAAGTTCTGTCTGGTTACATATGACCCTCTGATCTTCTTTTACTCTGGTTGTAATCCCAGCTGTTCCAATCCCTTCTTCTCACTCCCAGACTACGTGCCACCTCTCTCTATACTGGTCCTAGTCAGTCATGGGGCCTGGGTGACTTTCCATTTGCCTTTTCAGGGGGGAGCTCTGATTCTGGATCTGTAGCAGCCTCTAGAAAAACGTAACAGGCTATCCTTGCCTCCAGGAACTTGTGACTTATTTGGTGAAAATCTCGAAAGCCCTAGAAACAGCCAAAGTCTGAGGCTATCCCAAGGAATACTAGCTAGACTGTGACCTCAACATTCACTTGGCAAACATTTTAATGGTAAACATTTAAATGGTATTTTAAATGGTAAATATTTTCCTAAAAACACCAATAGAAAGCAAATTATAATTAAAGAGACTTGGGGGCTAAAATAAAGTGTAATTTGTTCCTAGGAGCTCTGAGACCCTAGGCCCATGAGAATAATTCCTTCAGATGTCAAAAATTACACAAACTCAGCATGGGCCTCTGACCCCTGCAGTGTATGATCCCTGAGAAATGGAATGAAAGGAAAAACAATAAATCAATTTGCCCCTTAACTACAAAACCCCATCTCATATATATTAATGTACAGAAAGAAAAAGCTACTATTCCTGGGGCCCTTCTGTGGATGACACAATACAGAACACCATCTCCTCACCAGCATAAACTGCTGCCCTGGGGGCCTAGTCAGGAGGGTTCTCAGCAGCAGGAGGGAGCACACTGAGAGTGGGGTTAAAAACAAGGACAGGTGAAAGAGGACAGAAAGCTGGGTCATCTCTTGGGACAGACTGGTATACACAGGAGGAAGCCTTCTACCACCTCCAGGTCCCCTCATTTCAATTCTTAACCCAGTAATTTCTCTGCTATAGCAAACAGAAGCCTGTCAGGCCAGTTGTGGATGTGAGGTCTCTGCTTGCCCAGGGATGGAGAGAAGGGAAGGATCTGGCTTGGCTACCTCAACTCAGTCTTGTCAAGAGCCCTGGGTAATCCTTCAACTTGGACTGCAGAGCAGATGCTGTTAGCCAAGTGTCACTCACCAGCCTGTCCCGTTTGGTGGCCCATTCTAGAGAGAGCAGCGGTGACTTGGAAATGGAAGATGCTTTGGTCTGCATGATGGGGTTGAAGGACCACACTTTGATGACCCCGTCTACATCTAAGCTGGCAACCCTCCTCCCCGAGCAATCCACTCTGAGCAAGAGAGAAAGGGCGATGTTAGCATCCTAGCCTCATTCTCTTCAAGGGCCCCAGAATACATCAGGGCTGTCAAAACAAGAAGCCCCTCTTCACTCTAAAACTTACATTCCTTGAGAGTATTTCTTTTCTTGAAAAGTCATGTTTTTTTTAATCATATTTAAATAAAAATGTATAAATGGTAAATATTTTCCTAAAAACGCCAATATAAAGCAAATTATAATTGAAGAGACTTGGGGGCTAAAATGAAGAGTAATTTGTTCCTAAAACTCAGAGAAACATTATTAGGAAGGGTGGATAGACTGACTATTACAATGGCAGCTCTAAGAAGATTCCCAGAAGGCAGTGGTCCAGCCCTTCTCTGAGCCTGCAGAACATGGTCCTTCAGGGGCCACCTGCCATCCCACCATCCACCCAACCCTCCTGTCGCCACACCTTCACATGCACTGCCTGAAAATCCAGGCTTCACAGCGTTTCCTGGTGGGCCCGGCCCCCCTTACCTACAGTGCATGATGGAAGAGTGGTGCTCCCCATACTCCTCCTGCCCCAGCACGATGAAGGGCTGCTCTGGGCGGCCTCCTCCCTCGGGGCCTGCTGTAGACACCCGTGTCAGTGGCTCCACTGGTTCCATGTGGAGATCTGGGCAGGGCTCAGCCTCAGGGCCACTGGCTTCCAGTTTCTTCTCTGCACACTGTGGTTAGCAAGTGGGGATTCATCAAATGGGAAGGGGTCTCCCATACTCAGGAGCACAACAGGGGACACAGTGGTCACACAGTCCCGAGGAAAGTTCTGAGCTTTGAGGGTAGAGTTCAGCTTGCCCCAGGAAAATGGGGCTCCCATCCCCTAGACAGCCCCTTCCTCGGGACTTTACTCACCTCATACCCTCTGCTGAGGGAGAGGGGCCCTGAGCCCTTCTCTCCCTGTCACAGCTGACAGGACTCAGGACACAGGCCTGACGTGACACAGGCCAGGCCAAGGATAATGAACATTGTTTCATGAGAGCCCACTGTGTGCTAGGCACTATAATGTGTGTTTTTCAGATTTCTATCATTTAACCTCCCTAAAACCATGTTGTTCACTCCACTGACAGCTCTGGAAACTGACCAAGGTCATAGGCTGGCAAAGGGTAGAAGTAGTTCCAGGCCCACTGGACTGGCCCTCACAGTGCACCTCACTCCTCTTCTTTTGGGAAGTGGGTACTGAGCGACTGAGAAAATGAGGCAACTGTAAGGCATGAAGATAGAGAGATCCAAAGACAGTGGGGCTCTGTAGCAGCCTGGTATCTGCCGCCTCATGGTGCCAAGTGTCAGCCACTATGATTACTACGTGTTCACTAGACACACCCCAGGCGTAAGGGCACTGGCCACTCCCTGGGGGTCCTAATATCCTCCATGTGCCCCACAGGGTGGCAGGAAGAATTCAATAGCCAAAGAATGTCAAAAAGATCTCAGACCTTATGGAGCTGTGCCTGTGGCCTTCATCCTCAAGAACAGAACAATTTGAGATCTGAGCCTTCAAGGTCTATTGCTACCAAACTAAAACCTCTACTGTGCTGCTCACTGGCAAAAAAAAAAATGCCTCTAAAATGGTCAAGAAAGTCCAAATAGGAGATGCATGCTCATGGAGGTAAACCAGCAAATCCCTTTGACTTTTGCTTTTAGTCTGGAGTATTTGGTAGAAATAGAAGCAGCCAGGAAGAGTAGATCCTGACCCACATCCCCACAGGTGGGAGCCCCCAAGCCTAGGGGGCTCGGCATGGAAAGGGTCAGAGTCACAGCATCTCACCACATGACTCTCAGCACAACAACCTGGCAGCTGGGCCTCGGGTAGAGCAGGGGAAATAGATCCTGCCAGCAAGCAAGTCAGGGCAACTCAGGGTTAAATGAAGGGGACCAAACCTCAGGGATGGTGATATGCGGACCTGCACAGTTAATCTAAGGGAAGGACTAGTAGGCCAGGGTGCCCAGCCAACCACATGCAGAACTCATCTTAAGAAGCACTTCCAGAGCTTGCATTTTCTGGTCCTCTGAAATACTATAAGGGGAAAGCCAGGCAAAATACAAACCCAGACAACCAAAGTGCAAGCAATTAGAACAGCTGGGCAGGACCATGCCTCGCACAGCAGAACTCAGAAGAGAGGTAAGGAACCCCTTCCACAGCCACCATGTGGGCATCAGGATGCCCCATACCTGGGAGGAGGTGGTAGAGAAAAGCTCCTTCCTCTCCTTGCCATGGTCCTGCAGGCGCCGCTGCCGCTGCTGTACCCAGCTGGACTCTCCCGAGGCTGGCCCGCCCAGGAGGCTCTTCCCATCCTTGGCCCCTGGCACCAGGTCCTTACCCTTGGAGGCCTAGAGGATGAGAAGCTAGCTTTGAAAGTTCTTTTTGGCAGCCCAGGTAGTGACAACCAGGAGGGAAGCAAGAATAGGGGACAGCCTCTCTGCCCACCAGCTCTGGGGAAAGGCCCTCCCTGGCAAGCTGGGACAGGTAGTTAGAGTGGCACTGGCTAGGCCAGGGGGGCCTGCAGCCTGGGACTCCTCCTTTCCCTCTTCACTCCTTGTTAAGGGTGGGACCCACAGGTGCCGAGCCCCATTACCCAAGTCCAGTAATGCCTCCCCATATTTACTGATGCTGAGGGCAGAGTGTTGACTGAGGAATTCTAAAACATGTCTCCAAAAGCTCTATCATGTTGACAGAATCCAAAAGATGGTTATGGGAACTCCAAAGCTAGCTGCATATAGTACTAAGAAGGAAGATCTGTTTCCTGAGTTGATGGCAGTTTCCAGAAAAGTTGGTTGGCAAGTGAGGACATTGCAAAAGTCAGGGAAAATTATAAAGCACATTTGACAGACCTGTCAACCTGACTAAGAGATCTTTAAGCTGGATTTTTGAGAAAAGGAAAAAGAACCCATAAAATGAGCTAACTAGATTCTGTGAAGGGTATTATGAGAACAAAAGGAATCACAGAGTGGAGGTTCAGTGGGAAACTAAGCCTCATGAACTAAACTAGGTAACTTGCTAAAACTTAGTCTCACTGTACAAAAAGGCAGCCATCCTCAACTCTAATGGATCTCGGAATCATCTGGGAAGCCTGTGGTGTGCTGACTTTTTTGCAGACTTTTATGCAAACCTCGCTGAAATAAACAATCTTTTTTTGTTTGTTGAGCATCTTTATAGGTTTATTGGTCCATTATTTTAAGTTAATTGAGGTAAAGAAACTGTTTTAAGTTTATAAGCTAATAGTTTATCTAGCAATACAAATTCTTTGTTTACTTCAAAACATCAAATACTAATCCTATGGTAAATAACAGGTTTTTTAATACACAGATACATGAAAAAGAAAAGCATGCAAAAATTTCATGCCAACATCAAATATTAAACAAGATTTTGTTTCCCATTTTATAATCTCTGAGTTCCATGACAAAGAAAAAAAGGTGTCATGCTTTTCAACATTTGGTAGCTTAATGAACTAGACTTGCAGTCTGTAAATAAAGCACTTTGTTATCAATACACATTCTCTCAAGGACTTTTTATTTTCACACTTTTGCTTTGGCTTAATGGCAGCAGGGAGAGAAGAAGATATTTACACAAAGGACTTTATCAATACCTCAGAAGGATTTTACATTTTCTCTTACAATTTTAAACAAAAAGAATGATTTCTAAAATTAAGAAAACACAGTCTATAATTTAGAAATGTCCTAGTAAAATTTTAATCTCTTCTTTAACAGTTAAAATACAAGTTAGAAAGTTTACTGGCAGCTGATTTTATGGGAGAATATCAGACATAGGTCACCTCAATGCATTTCCAACTCACAGAGATGATGGGAACAGGCACATACAAGTGAAACAAACCAGGGATCATGGGGACTGGGGTCCCCTGGGGTGTCCAGATGGACAGTGTTGATTCTTAAAGAGATGCTGGCTTGTTCCCCAATGAAGGTCCAGCTGACAGAGCCACTGCTTTATCATATGGATTCACATTCTGGTTTGCAAAAAAAAGCCTAATATCCTCCTTCACAAATGAAAATTTTCAAACTTGAGGAAAATACCAAGATTTATATAGAGAAATGGGAAAAGACATGAACGAAATTTATAAGAAATACACAATGGACTTTAAACACATGAAAAGATGCTCTATTTCACTCAGAAGAGAACTATAAATAAACTACACTGAAATACCATTTCTTACCCATCATATTAGCAAAAGTTCCAGAGCTGCACAAGAGATTCTGTTGGAGAGGCTGTGGTGGGGAACCAGGAATTCTCATACACTCCTGATGGAAATGTGAAATGGTAAAATAGATGGGGGGTGGTGGTGGGGGTTGAGAGTGTCTTTATTCTTGCAACTGTCCTGTTACCTTGAAAGTATATAATAATAAAAAGCTACAAAAGTAAGAAAGAAGAAAGAAAAGGTAAAGTAACATGCAATGTAATTACCTTTAAACAAATCCATAACACTTACTGAGAACTTCTGCATGGATAAAAAGCTGGAGAGAGGAAAAGATGTTGGTAGAGCTATGTACTCACTAGATGATACCAGCATACCAAGAGGCTCAGCCCTACTGTGAGGCTGCACTAGCCCTACTGTGAACTACTCCCAGTGACCTTGCCTTACACGTTTGTAGCCATAGCACCCAGTACCCTGCCTGGCGGACTGGGCCCTCATTACTATCTGACTACACATGAGTAGAGACAGTGATGGACAAGTGAAGTTATAGTAGCAATATGTACTACACTGACAATCCTGGCATCTCCCACACTTATTCTATTACAGGCTGAGTATCCCTTATTCAAAATGCTTGGGACCAGCAATGTTTCAGATTTTGGAATATTTGCACATAAATAGCAAGATATCACAGGGATAGGACCTAAGTCTAAACATGAAATTTGTTTATACTTTATATATACCTTATACCATAGGCTGAAGATAATTTTGTATATTTTTAATAATTTTGCACATGAAACAAAAGTTTCACAGTGTAGAATTTGCCACTTGGCATCCTGTAGGTGCTCAAAAAGTTTTAGACTTTGGAGCATTTCAGATTTTTGGATTAGAGATGCTCAACTTATATAAGTACAATATCTGGTGAATTATTTTATCAACAATTTCATCCAATAGTAAGTAAAGGAAGAGATACAGAGATCTACCACACTGGCTTTGTTTTTATTTACATGAAAAGCTGGATGGCTATGCTCATATGACAAAAAAAATCTTAAGAAAAAGTACCCTATTAGGATGTATAAAGAAAAGGGAACTGTGGCATAAACACATTCTTCAACTTTTAGGAACTTAGAACATCCAGAAAAAGGAAGAAATTTTAAAGGGAATTAGTGCATGAGTGAGGATGACAGATTCTGAAGTATAAATTTTATGCCATATTATACCCCAAGAATAAAGAAAGAAAATATTTAAAGGAATGTGTGGCAAGTTCAAACCATAAAGAGTAATGCTAACCTACCAGAAAGTTCTAGAAAAGCTAAAGCACAAACTGAGCAGAAGCCCTGATACAGACAAACTAATCAGTGATAAGGACTCTGATGTCAAAAGAACAAGGAAAGAAGTGGTCCACTATCTAAGAAAATGGCACAGTGCTATCAGATCATCCAAAGAATGCAGAAACACTTCTGTGGCTTCTTCCTCCTGTCTTCTCCCATGGTGAACTTCCTATTAAATATTTTCATGATAGTTCCTACTGAGATAAAAAGAAAAGACATGTATTGGCCTGTTTTTAAACTTTAAGTCCTTCATGAAGAGAGCAAAAATTATAAACCCGAGCTGATCAAACACAGCACATTTCCATTCCAAATGTTAGAACTGTGTCAATAACAACTGTATATGGGTTCCAAGAGGACAGGGGCCAATGCAAGATTAAGTGTCTGGTCCTAAGGAGATGGAATGAGCAGGGGGCCTGCTCAATCTGGGAGCACTTACAAGGCCACGGTCTGGAGGCAGCAGGCAGGCTACTGCCATCATGTAACTGCTTCTACTGATTATGTTCTGAAACCCTCATAAAAATAGTCACTGAAAATGCAGACACCAAGCAAACATATTATGGTCCAGGAGATGCTATGTTTACCACATTCACTGCCTGGCACATGATTTCCAGGCAGTAGAACACTGTGGACTACATGGGTATCCTGCCCTGGACCAAAAGTAGAAAATGCTACAGAGGGAAACAAGCACCTTGGCACCCCTTATACCTAATAAATAGAACCCTTTCCTTTTTCAATGCTTGATGTTGAGTGCTCAATTAAGCTAGTCCATATTGATGGTACAGAGAGCCTTCAAATTCTCTAGCATAATTAAATGTACACCTGACATGAAGAAATTCAAAGGTAATGTTCCCCTGAAAGTTAAGATGACAAAGAAGTTGCCCAGTGCTGTCAAGCTGGGGTTGGACAGCTTATATTTTATAAAACAAAAATACAAACAGGTATTAACAAAATGATTTGCATTCAATAAGAAACAAAAGAACCATAGACCCAAGAACATGACCTCTCAGAACCTGCTTAAAGAGAGGGGAGCTTCTCCTTAAACTGTACCTAAGTCACCAAAGAAGGGTGAGCAACAAGGAAAGATAATAATATATTAAAAGCTGATAAAGGGCTGGGGGTATGGCTCAGTGGTAAAGCCCTTGCCTTGCATGCTTGGGGCACTGGGTTTGATCCTCAGTACCACATAAATAAATAAAATAAAGGCATTGTGTCCATCTACAACTAAAAATTTAAAAAAGAAAAAAGAAAAAGCTGTTGAAGTCAGGTATGGTGGCACACATCTGTAATCCCAGCAGCTCAGGAATCTGAGACAGGAGGATTATGAATTCAAAGCCAGCCTCAGCAACTTACAGAGGCACTAAGCAACTCATAGAGAAAGGGTAGGGATGTGGTTCAGTGGTTATGCACCCCTGGTTCAATTCCCAATACCAGGGGGAAAAAAAAAAAAAAAACTGATAAATGCAGCTGTCCACAAAACACTTTAATAAGTAGGTTAAGATAAATTTGTTTCTAGCTACAAATATGCACAACTTAAACAAATGTTTACTGTGACATAACCAGTAATTGGAGGTTTTATTTTGTTTTAAAGGCAAACCTCATAAAAATTTTAACTACCGTATTCATATAACTTAATGCCCCCAAGGTTTAGACTGTACCCATCATAAATCTACCTGACTCCTTCAGTTTAGGAAAGGTACTGTAACCTGCTTTATCATTTGACTTTCTCCCTCTGGAGATGGCATAGGTTGATACCTGTTCATTTTCAGTGACCTGAATAAATCAAGAGAGAATCAAAAGCCTCACAGATCTTGCCAGGAAGTTATCCAAACAAGGCAGGGAGCAAGTTCCAGAAATTTGGTCTCACCTGAAGTAAAACAAAGCCACCCAAAAGTCAGGACTGAAGGACTGGGAAGAGTGTGCCCTTCCCCATCCTGCCAAGCTCCATGGGAACAGGCCCCACTGCAGCTGTTGTTACCACTGATGTCTCAACAGCTAGGAGGTAATTTGATACTAATAAGAATTAGAAGTACATAAGTTTGTGGATGCTTTGCTTTCTTTACATTACAGCCAATTAAAGGTTATCTCTATAATAAGGCAATTCCCACTTGTTGTCCCATAGCTCACTAAGTGGGTGTGAAAGACACAGAATCACCGCTGCGGGGGAAGGATGTGGGCAGCGCAGCAGCCCAGGCCTGCCTGCTAATGATGCTCCCTCCCCTGGCTACCATTCTGAGATCCCAAAAGAGTTTGGGAACCTCGGTTTTGCAGTTAGTCCTCTCTTCCTTTTTTTTCTACTGAAAGTCCAGAGAAAGTATGTTGCCATCTATTTTGCAAGAATCATGCTATAGACATCTCAGTAATAGTGACAAGAGTTTTAGTGACCCATCACAAGCAGGAAAAATACTGAAGTAAGTAAAATTTACAATGCTCTGCATATATGATTTGGAAAATAGAAAAGTTTAATCATTTTATGTATTGCTTATTTAACAACAAAATTCAGGGTGGGTTTTTTTTTTTTTTTTTTTTTGATCTCTATATGTGTGCTTATTCTTTAATAGTAAGAAACCAAAGAAGGGGTGGTAGTGGTGAGAAAAAAAGACTGCATGCCTGATTTGCACTGACAAAGCAATATAGCTTATTTAGAAATCGTTTCCATTTCACATTGAGTTCAAAGGAGTTTTATCAAAATCACAGGAAGTGATACTACCACATACTGCATTTGGCATTGGTGAGAAAACATCTAAAATGGACATTGAATTTGGGCATCAATTTAATAGAGGAATTGATACATTAGAATGGCCCCTCTAAGAGGAAGTGGCAGAATGGTGAAGAATCTAGAAATTATGCCATGGGAGAAAACAGTTGGGGAAAGGGAGGCACAGACAGTGCTTAACATGGAAAAGATAGAAAGGGTTGTCCTATGCAAGCAGCTTATTTAACATAGCTCCAGAGAGCTAAGACTGGTGAGTAAAAGTTATAAAGGGGTTTCTACTAGTAGCTTTCTAATAAGTACACATTCCCACTTTACAAGCATTAGCTCCACATCATAGAAGGCAATCAATCCCACAGAATGCATTCCTATGCTCAGCAGGAAAATGGGCCAGATGACCTTTAAGCCTCCTTCCAACTCTAAAATTCTGTCATTTTCTTAAACCTCAAATCTGCTAGTTATTTTTAAGAGTTAAAATGTCCATGCTGGGTCTAAATAGTCTGCCATCAAATTTAAAAAAAAAGTGACTTGGCCAGTGAGTTTTTAGAATGTAGCTATCTGAGGTCTCCATTCAAGATCTAGAGAACTGCTCTGTTAAGACACTTTACTATTTCTCAACCTTTTCCCAATTATATTTGAGATACATGCATTTTTACCTTCATTTCTTGGCAGTAAACTTCACAAAGATTTCCCATGCCATTTCAACCTTATAATGTGACACACAGTTCCTGAACACATAAGAGCACAGCCCACAGGCTTACTTCCGAAGAAGCTCTCTGATTTCATTTTGAGTTAGAAAAATTAAATTCCACAATGGCAAGCCCATACCATCTACCAAAATTATAAAATGTTGCTCAGTAAGAGATCTGGAAAGTCAACAGTAAAACTTACTTGTCCATATTCTAAGAAACTGAAATTTTACTTTCAAAGTTTGAATTTCAGAAAAAAGAGTTGTAGAAATAATTGTGACTGATTTTTAACTGCTTCTACTTTTTTGGATGATGAGATTACAGTCAATCTCATTCTGCACTAACTAGTAAAAATACATTTAAAAGAGAGTGTCCCTACCAAGGCAAGGTGGCACCTGAGATCTCAGACTTGACTTGGGAACCCAACTAGGCCAGAATCTTCAAGAATACAACTTCTACTAAACTTAACTGCATGCTTATCATTTGCCAGCCACTGCAGATACCAAGAGCTCTTCTAGCCACTCAATTATTCCTTCCCTAGGGAGTCAATACTATTATTATCCCCCCAAAATTGGGGTGAGTTTAAGCAATTTGAGCTTCGATGCTAAACAAGGAGCCCAAGCTAAAAGTAAAGCTGCATCAGCTTTATGACTGACTGAGTCCACACTATCTTATCCAACACCCTACTTGGTGTTTGCAGCTCAACAATACTGAACCCCACATTCCAAAGGCAGCCTAGGGCAGACCGCTGCCTCCCTGAGTACAGGGAGCCACCCCAAACTGTCACATCACTTGCAACTCCAGTCCTGGGTAGTAGAAAAGGAAGGCACAGACTACGACAACTTACTTTATTGTTAACTAGTAAAAATACATTCAAATAGAGTGCCCCTACCATAGCAAGTCTAAGTTGGAGTCTGTGAGACTTTCACTCTGGCAGGCATTTCTGAAAGCAATTATTCTGACAAGCTAAGCTAAAAAAACAATTCAGTGGGACTCTTGGTTGTTTTGGACATAAGCTGGCATGGAAAAAAACATCTCTTGCAATATAATATTAAAGTAAAAAATAATGAAAATCCTTTGTAGATTCAGCAAAGATAAACTTGTAGATGTTTATCTACAAATACATAGATTCAGGAAACTCTTAATTAACTCTTACCCAGACAATAATTTATATCACCAAAAACTCAATTGAACTCACACTTGAACCACTCAAACAGTCATAAGTCCTTGTGGGTTCCCAGGAAGATTAGGAAGAAAGGGGAGAGACCCTGCAAAGCCCACTTCCTGTCATTGACTGTCCACCACTTTGCCTGTGGAGTGTGGCAGACTTCTGAGTTGAGACAGGAGTGCAGGGGTGGTCAGAAGCCCTGGGCCTGAAGTCCAGCACAGCACTTCATCAGCACACGCACATCTGCCACTGTCTCAGTGCCACACCCTGCAGTGCCAGCCAGAGGCAAAAATGCAGCATGCATTGGGGGGATTTTCCTCCTTGTTCTCCCAATTCCCTCACTGGTCTTATCTCTATGCTCATCCTGCAGAATTATCACTGATCTGTGACAACAAAGGTAGGAAAAGAAATAGAAAGGAATTAGAAGTGAATTTAGGATTTCACAGCTCATCTAAGAACTTGGTCCTAAATGGAGGGCACACAAGTCTACACTTGATAAGAAAACCTAGAAGCAGACCTGATAGTCAGATGTCAGAGGCTTCTTGGAAAGTTAGAAAGGCAAGACCAGCACTTACCTGACTGCTGAAGGACTCTTTCTTGACTGAGCTCTGAGTCTGCAGAGGTCCCTGGGCAGGCGACAACCTTGAGGGGCTCTTCTTACTCTGAGGCAGCAACGAGGACAGGAATCCTACTCGAGGCGACTGGGAGAGGGAGGTGGTCCTCTGGCTGCATACCATGGCTCTGGTCAAAGACACACCACAGGGTCAGAGGGCTGGAAGGGGATGAGGGAGATCCAAGAACTCAAAGAGCTTCTGGGATATGGGTGAGGTTAATGACAGGGGCCTTAGCCAGACTCCCCAGCCTGGGCTTGACAGTGGCATTATCCAAGGTACCATTTCCTCTACAGAGGGAGCCAGCAGCTTAGTGAAGACTATGGCTCTTCTTTGAGGGCCCCAGTAAAACTCAGAGCTGCCTTGTCCAACAGCCACTGTCCACACATGCCTCTGAGCATCTGAACTGTGGTTAGTCCAAATTGAGATGTACTGGAGTGTAAGACATGCTGGAATCCAAAGACTCAGCAAGAAAAAAAGTGTAAAGTACCTCATTAACATTCTGCTTACATTCATTACACGATGAAATAATTTGGATATATTAGGCTAAATAAAATATATCACAAAAATTAACTTTGCTTGTTTCATTTTATTTTTTAAACACAGCTACTAAAACCTTTAAATTACATCTTTGGCTGGCATTTTATTCTCCTCAGCGATGTTGACTGGAAAGCTAGAGCAGTTTATTTGGTGCAGTACTTGGCTATCACCTGGGTTTGCACCCTGATGCACTGTGTCACCTGTCGGTGTCTCTGTGTTTTCAATTATCATCTGAGTCTTCTGCTATAAATGGCTATTTCTTACGGTCACCCAATACCTCTATCCCAATCTGCCCACCTTTCTAAACCCCAATAGCATGCTTCCCCTAAGAAATGTGTCCCTCCCATGGAAGGCCAGTCCTCCTCACTGCACTCCTTCCAATGCACAAAAACTTCCTGAGACTTTACCACAGTGGCTGTTGTACTGATCCAGGTTATGCACATCTGGATGTTTGTGTCCCTGGCAGAGCTGTGCCCCCTCTCTCCACGCAGAGCCAAAGGCTTGGAGGTTCAGAACAACTTCCAAAGGACCTTAGAGGCCATGAGAACCTTATTTATCAATTCTGAAGCAAGGGCAGATGTGCCAAGGAGCTCTTTGGCAATTCTCCCTCAATGGGCACAGGGGACCAAGGGCAAGGCAGGATCAGATTGAAGCTCAGGTCAGAGAGAGCACAGAGTACAGAGGACAGGAAGCAGCAGCCACCTTCCCCATGATCCCTGGTGTACACTTACAGCTCTGAGTCCCCCAGGCGGTCCATATTGGAGACATAAGGAGGCAATTTGTGTTGGACCAAGGCCGCCTCCTCTTCAGGTTGCTGCTCCTCCTTCTTTAGTCGGTGGATTTCAGCTTGCAAGGCAAAAAGCTATGTAGGGGTAGAGCTGAGTTAGCCAATGACCTCACCTGACTTTCCCTCTTCTGAGGGAGATTTTTAGGCATCTCAAATCCAAATCCAACCTCACTGGCTCAAAATGCCACTTGACCTCAGCCTCAGGGTGCCCTTCACATTTTGGTCATTGAGCACTGGAAAACTGAAAGAATAACTTGCTGCTACTAGCCTAGACCAGTGAGGTAAGAAAATCAAAACCGGTTAAACATCCAAAACCACTTCTTTTTTCATTTATCATTTGACTTGCTTCCTTTTTACCACTTGACTTGCTTCTTCCTGAATTTACTATGAAAAATAACTCCACCTGATCCTGCTTTGTTCTTTGACATCTACAAAATCAAGCTTTGGAACTCACATGGAAAAAAGTTCTTAATGAATTATATCATCCTTAACCTCTCACCTGAGCCGGGCATGGTGGCATTGCCTATAATCCTATCAATTTGGGAGGTTGAGGTAGGAGGACAACAAGTTCAAGGCCAGCCTTAGCAAGACCCTGTCTCAAATATAAAAAATTAAAAGGGCAGAGATGTGGCTCAGTGGTTAAGCACCCCCAAATTCAATCCCCAGTACCAAAAAAAAAAAAGGTCTTTCACCTGAAACAACTGTATACACACACAAAACACAATAAACTCTGAAATCTTTGTATGTGTGCATGTGGGGGAGTATAAGTGGGGGATTTAACTCAGAGGTATTGAGCACAGGGCTATTACCCCACCGCAACCCTATTTTGAAACAGGATCTTGCTAAATTACTGAGACTGCCCTCCAAAAAGTAATCCTCCTGCCTCAGCCTCCCAAATTGCTGGGATTACAGACATTAAAACCCTGAACCTAACAGTTTTTAAGCTTCCTTTTCCCTGACAGAGCTCTTTATTTCAGGACAAAGAAATGCCTCCAGCAAAAAGTAAAGGCAAATGTGGGTTCCCCAAATTTGTTATTTTATCCAACAAGAGAAACATGTAGTTGAGTGGGAAGAATTAAATTAAATCTGGATTTGAAACAATGTATACATGGCTACATGTGGAAAAAGACAGGAAAAATAAAACAGACATAAGAAATCAGGTGAGGTGCAAGGTATGTTATGAAGGCACACAGTGTTTTTCTTCTTGAAAGTCCATTCCTGTTATACATTACTTTTGCTGCACACATAATTTGAAACATGAATTTCACCTCTGGTTACCAGAGGCTGGTATAGCCCCAAAGCCCCAACATTGACTGATAGTGACTCACTTTCATCTGAGAATAATTCTGCTTTTCTATATTTAATCAACCTTCTATTGCCACTACCCAATTTCACACTCAAAAAGCAGAAGTCCTTCCCAAAGAGCCAGCCTGTTTAAAACAAACCTTCTGACGCAGAACTTCATTTTCTTCTTGAATCTGGTTCGTCCTCTGGCACTCTGCATCAAAGTTCAGGATCACTGGAACTGGTGCCCAAAGTTAAAGAATAAGCCTGCATGAGAACATTTAAAAGTTCTTCCTGGCTGAGCATGGTGGCACATGCCTATAATCCCAATGATTTAGAAGGCTAAAACAGGAGGGTCACAAGTTAGAGGCTAGCCTTAGCAACTTAGTGAAACCCTGTCTCAAAATTTAAAAAAAAAAAACAAAAAAAAAAAATATATTTTTCTTAAATTAAAGTTCTTCCCAACTGACATAGTAGCCAAACACTTGAACACAAAACAGAGGAACATAGGTGCAATGGGCTCATCCCAGCTTTATGAAATAAAAAGCTGCATTTATGAAATATTCTCTACCTATTCTCTGGGCCTATTACTCCAGGTCAGCCTGACTTCCTTTAGGCCCATAGACACATGACAATCTGCTAGCCAATCTCAAAGAGGACATTCAAACTTTGGCATTTCCCCCCAAACAATGACAGTAAAGAGTTAGCATTTGTCAGGCTTCACCATCTAAGCTTTAGCAAAAGATGAATGCAGACAGAAGGTAACCTTAGAAGTAGGATCAGCCACTAGGTTTTCCCTCCCCAGATTAAACCTCTCCCTGGCAAAGTTTAGACTGAAAAGAGAAAGCTTCCTGCAGATTGCATGGCCACACACCACCCCACAAACACCCTGTTCTAGCTATGGTACTGGTCTTTCCCAACTGCTCACACAGCTTCAGTCAGGAGTCACAGAGCAGACCAGGCCTCAGTCCTGGCGAAGCAAACTGTAGCTCAGATGTGTGTGACCTAGTTTGCAGAGTTCTGCTTGAAAAGATCTTGAGTGACCATTTCAGTTGCCTGAAGGGCCCACACAGTCATATGGCAACCACCTTGTGATTTTCTTTGGAAAGCCCTCAGGATGAAAAGGCAGCAGGAGAGTCAGATCTGTGAGGATGGAAATCATGCTAATTCACATGAGGAAAGGAAACATCAAAGGCAGGAACCTCCACCAGAAAATGTTCTTCCCAGAGGCCAGAATGGCCACCAGTGGGTGGGCCTCTACAACACCCAAATTTATCAGGGCCTTACCAGACAGCACTGCTGAAACCACACTCCCTTCCTCCCCACCCCACCCCCACCCCCCAGATTTCCAGCCTGGAGGACTTATTCCTGGGTCTCAGGATCTCTGGCTTTCCATAACAAATGGTATATTTGACAGGCTGTTTTGCATGTATCATCATTCTCTCTCTCAAATACTCACATATATTTGACTTAAAACTACCCTGTTTTCTGACAAATAGAGCAACACTGAGACCACTGACAGAAATAATCCAAACACTAACTCAGGAAGGAAACCCCAACCCAAGTGTTCTGCTACGAAATCCCCACAAAGGCAATCCACAGGGACACATCATGCACAGAGAGGGTGCTTCAAATCTGACTGGTTTCACCAAGAAATAGCTGCCTTCCAACCCTTTTGCCTGCTGCTAACACTATCCCCACACATGTGTGTCAGCTATTTCTTTAGCAGCACAGTGTCAGAACTAAGATTTATGACTCCCTGGCCTCCTGACAAAAATAACCACAATTTGTCCAGCCCCCTCACATGACACATGTCAATGATCCCGGGCACACAGTCTGGCTGCCTCAGACTAAGCCCACAGCCCCAGGCAGCAAAAAGGATATGCATGCACTGAAACAGGACACTCAGGAAGTTGTGGAGGGACACAATAAAGGTGTCAGCCCACTGTCGAGAAAAGTAGGTAGCAAAGGTGGGGTTGGTGTCTGGGGATGGCAGGAAAGGCAGGACAAACCAATCCTTCCACTCAGCCTGGTTCTGAAGCTCTGTGGCCTGCTTTGCAAAGAATTCCTGAGCCTTGTCATTTCTGTTTGTCTGCCAAGACACAAAGGAGGTAGCAAGGAAGGGGAAGAGACACAAGTCCAGAGGTAAGATTCTTCACCACTACACAGCAGACAGCCTTTTGGATACCACCTGCCAAGTGAATGGCAAGATATTACCTCCACAATATGAACACAATCATCGCCCTTTTCTCAGGAACCTTATTTCAGAGATAGTTTAAACTGAAGTTCTAACGACAAATGCCACCCTAAAAACTAATCCCTTGTGATGTTCAAATAACCTAAGTGACTTATTCTTTCAAATCAGCTGTAGTCTTTATCACTCAAATTTTATATCTTTAAACCACTATCCAGGGTGATGTTCCTAAAACAAGAGGGGAAATAGGAATGGAAACAACAGGTAAGAGGACCTACAGATGATGAGAAGGAAAAAAGAAGTAGGAAAGCAGTCAAGAATAATATGCATTGTGGCTGTTCCACACTTTCCCATAGTAATGTTCATGTTTCTCCCTCCAGTTAGAAGAAAATCTATTTCTGGATCAAAGAGCTCTCCCACCTCAGAACCCCTGAATCAACAAACACCTGGATTGTGTAGACAAGATAAAAGCGGAAAAGGCTGGTTTTCAGCTTGTTGATGGTGGGTCTATATATATCCTCCAAGCGGCTAAAGAGCCTTCGTTCCAGGTAGCTCCAGTAATCCCGAAGGGCAGCTAAGTCATACACCTGCATTAACTGCTGTAGCTGGTCCACAATCTTGTCCACCTAGTGAGAAAAAGCAGTGCTGAAGAAGGCGGGGAAGGACAGAAGGGAATTCACCTTGCATTCCACAGAATACAGTTTTTCCTCTCACTGACTTCTAGGTGTACAAATAAGTTTAAGTTGGCAATTTATAATAAAACATACTAATGTAGTAGCTTTTAAATTATTTTCTAATCCTAGATATATATCTTGTCTCTCCCATAAGCATGGAAACTTCAAGTATAAAAAGGCTTTGGAGATCTGGCTCCAGGTTTTGGATCTACTGAACCAAGTTGGCAATGTCACTTTAACTGCGGTCTCAGTTCCTCATATTTAAAAGGCAAAGAGGTAAGAAAGTATGAGACAATGTCTATGGCCTCCTCCCAGTGCACAATTCCAGAATTCCAAGGATCATCAAGCGGTGCACTGACTTACTCCTACAAGTCAAAAAACTACCACAACCCTGGTAGCTGCTCAGAGTGTCAAAGAAAGAATTCAACTCCTTGTAAAGAACACCAGAATATACAATCTAGAAAAATTTTGTATATCCATATCAAAAATAGAAAAATAGAAATCTTAAGAGGTAAAATTATTTGCTTTTGCCACTAAGTAACTACTAACTTTGGCAAGGCAAAAAATCAAGTATTCTAATTCCCCTTCAACGCTCTCGGTGCTAGCTCACTCTCTCTCAATTCGCCAACACCAGAAAAACTGATTCAGCACATACAAATCGCACACAAATTCCAAGAACCTCCCAAGGAAAAATCATATCATAGTAGGAAGTCTTTATAATTTAAAATGTGCAATGAGTTCTCCCTCAACTACTCAAGCAAAATTGCCAATGAGTCCCTGACAAGGCCATTTTAAACGAACACCTCAGACGCCTGAACCCAGTTGGCGTTTGGGGCTGCAGACGCTTTTGCTCCCACTGCCATCAGAAGCCAAAACCTTGCGTCTTTCTCTTGCCAGAACTCAACCATCTACCCAGTCCTGGCTCCTAAAACCTCGTCCACCAGCACCCGCCGGGAGACTGGGATGGAGAACAGAGCCCTGGACCAGGAATCAGGGCACCTGGGCCCCGATGCAGATGCTCCTGACTCACTGAGCAACTTCAGGAAAGTCACGTCCGTCTCAAGGCCTGTTCCTCAACTGCCTAGCTAGGGCCAGACGCATAATGTCTACGGCCCCCCAAGCGCGGTGACAGCGCCGCTACAGCCCGGGAGGGCAGTGCTCGGGGGAAGGGGCCCGCTCTGGAGATCCCTCGGGCCGCCTCCGCCCGCGCGGCGCTCGCCGGCCCCTCACCCGGAACCCCTTCTCCTTGTCCGCCTTGATTTCGGCGTCCAGCTGCCGCAGTGTGTGCGTGAAGCCTCGAAAGAGCAGGTACTCCCGGACCAGCTCGTCTGTGCGCTCCACCGCCTCCGCCATCGCTGCGCCAGAGGCTTGAGGGTCCGCGGCCGCGGAGGCGAAGGGGCGGGGCCTGAGAGGGACGGGGAGGAGCCGGGAGCGGGCGTCTAGTACGTCACGAAGCGGCCGGCCTACCAGCCCGCACGCCCTGCGCGCCAGGCGCCGAGGCCCCGCCCCTCGGCCGTTGCCCCGCCCCTAAGCCTCGCCTCCGGACCCGCCCAGCCGACCTCTTTACGCACTTACTCATTGAGGGGTGGCTGCTAGAGGCTCTTGTCTTCTGAGTTTTCTGGCAGCGCCAGCGGAGGCTTTGTCATCTGAGTTACTGCAAGTGGCGACTCCCGTCCAAATCAAGTAGGACTGGACCTTGTGAACGTCCCAGATAGTCACGAGGCCGCCAGGGGTTGAGGTGCCCTGCTTATTGGCATTACATCGCTGAATTTTTTGTCCCCTGCCCTCCTTTCACAAATGGGAGAAAGTGGAGTCCTAAGAGGTAAAGTGACCTGTGTGAAATCACACAACCGGATGTGTCATCAGAGAGCTCCAACTGCCCCCCCCAAACCCTGCTTTCATTAACTACATGGCAAGATGGCCAAGATGCACCGCTACTAGGAAAAAGACAAGTCTCAGAAGAGTATGTATACTATGGTCCCAGTTTAAAAACAAAGGTGAGGGGGTTGTGTGTGCATGTATTTTTTAGATTCAGGATTATACGCCAGCTTCTTACAATTGCTTGAGAGGTGAGACTATGAGGGACTTTCAGTTTCTTTTTATTTTTTTTAAACATCAATGGACCTTTATTATATTTTATTTGTACATGGTGCTGAGAATCGAACCCAGTGCCTCACACATGCTAGGCAAGCGCTTTACCACTGAGCTACAAGCCCAGCCCCTCAGTTTCTTTTTTTAACATTTTAAAAATCATTCACAAGGTCTATTTTTATAAGACAGAAAACAGCTATTATCTTAGAAATGACAATAACTCCTACCTTGCAGAGTCATAAAGAAAAATTGATAACACATCAAAACAGCTTAGTGAACAGCCCATTGGTAAAACAAAATAAATGTTTGTTCCTTTCTGCTTCTCTCTAATAGTATGATCTTTTTGCAACTCTGAATCATTCCTACCACTCTACTTAAACTCTCTGATCCTACTATACAGAAATTCAGATCCAAAGGGGCCCTAATCTAGAAAAACCGGAAAAGATAACAAAGAGCAAGCCACAGCAAAAGAAGGGAGATGCTTATTCTGCCTTTTTGCCTGGTTTCCCAGTCTACACAGTTTAAGTATCTCCCAGGCAACCAACAGCCAGGAGAATCACCTCTGTGACTACTGAGAGAACCAGATCAAATCCTACTTTGGAATCTGAGATCATCAAAAGTGAACTTAGGAACGTTGAGCAAGTAGTCACCACCAAAACTCTGCCTAGAGGAAAGTCATGAATTTGATTTCCCTAGAGTACCCTAAGTCTGCAGCTACAACTTTCCCTCCCCCGCCTCCATCTGCCTTGGCACTTCCCAGACCAGAGCCTGTAAAACCAGCTAAGATTAGTTTTCTGATGAAGAAAAGGCAGTTAGTTCCTCAGAGCCCAGCACAAGTTTGCTCTACCTGGAATGTCTTCTCCTACATACCTAAGTGGATAACTACCTTTTCTCCTTCACATGTTTGCACAACTATCGTGTCGTGTCTTTTGAGGCTGCTATAATAAAATACCATAAATTGGGTGGTTTATAAACTTACTTGTAGTTCTGGAGCCTGGAAAGTCAAAATCAAGGCAATAGCAGAAAAATCAGCACCTGGTCAGGACTTGTTCTCTGGTTCACAGATGGAAACTTCTACTTGTGTTGACATATGGTCCTTGAATGGTAAGGGCCTCTCTGACACCTCTTTTATAAGAATACTAATCCCATTTATTAGGGTTCTGCCTTCATGAGCTAATCATTTCCTAAAGACCCAACCTTCCAACACTACCACACTGGGGATTAAGTTTAAACATGTGAATTTGAGGGGTCACAAGCATTTAGACCATAGCAGTATCTTCTCAGAGAATTCCCCTCTGACTGTCCTGTACAAAAACCATCCCTAGTGTTCTTATTTCCCTTGCCTCCTTCTATCTGCATAGCATTTATGACCATCTGACAAAATAAATATTTGTTTATTTAGTATGTTGTCTGCCCACCCCCAGTAAAATATAAACTGCATAAAAGCAGAGTATATTTGTCTGTATGGTTTGCTACTATATCTCCAGAGCACAAAATGGCAATTGGCTCATAGTAAATGCTCCATAAATACTCACTAAAAGTGAGGATTTCAGTTAGGGACCAGCCACCTCCAAGCAGGATAGCCTTATTAGAGGGCAAATAAACTCTTGGATCACACCTATTCACAGGTTCTGTGGACTTGTGAATGGTTCCTTATCAAAGCATTTCTCTTCCCCTTCACACCATTTTACTTAATGTTTAAAGATTTCTGAAGACACTTAACTGGGTTATCTTTATGTAACCAGAGAAAGTACTAGATTCTCCAGCTCATTTATTAGCTCTAATTAGTTGATATTATTAATCCATCACTGGTGATGTTCTGGTGCCTGTAATGGAGGTAGAAAATGACAATGGAGTTCATTTAGGAAGGAGCTATCAGGGACCATAGCAGTTCCCTTATACTCAAAGAATTATGCACAACCCACAATGCAAATTGTGAACCAATTTTCTGATCTAACAATCTCTCCTTGCCTTTGAACTTTAGAACTAGAGAAAAGGAAGAACAAGGAACATGAGGACAGAAGAAAGAAACCTTTATGAGCACCTACTATGTGCCAGCTACTGTACTTGGTGTCAGTGACATAATAATCAGCAAGATTGGAGTCCCTTCCCTTGGATGAGCTTAGACTGGTTAAGGAAGCAAAATGCCTGAAACATATACTGAAACTCCGACTGCAGGGCTCAGGCAGGATTGGACCACAGCAGGGCCAGCTCCAGGGCAGAAGCCAGTCCATGCAAGAGACGAGGCTAAACTTGTGGCAGCGGGGATGAAGAACAAGGACTCGAGAAATGTTGAGAAGTGGAATTGATCATATGAGGTGACTGAGCTGATTTGAGTGAGGATCAGGGTAGTCAATGGAGGCAGGTTTCTGGCTGGTCATCTGGCCAGATGGCGATGCCAATCATAGTAGAAAGAACTGAGGAAGCAGAGACTGAGAAACATCCACACAAACTCTTTGAGGTAGAAACTCAGCTAAACAGGGCCAACCAGGCAACACTAGGACCTAGAGTGTGGCTTTCGTACCTCTGCCCCTCTTCAGCTATTACCTGTACACTGGTGCTACCCAAATCTGACCTCCAGCCCAGACCTATCTCTGAGTCCTCATCAAATAGCCCAGGGACCTTCCGACTTGGATATCCTACAGGCATCTCACACTAATCTGTACCATTTACTGAGATTATGAGTTCAAATGGTGATTGAGGCTTTATTTCTACTATATTGTACTGTAGAATTCAGCTCCCAATTCTCCAAAATATAAATTTGTCAATACCTGCATCTAAATTACCTGAGGGACTTGGTTAAATACAAAATTCTGGGACCAACCAAGACCACTTGATCAAATCACCTGGGATGGTGGCTGGGAATTTGCATTTAGAGCAAGCTTCAGGTGATTATTAGGAACACATGTTTGATAATCACTTTTTCATTGTAATAGGAGGTAAAAGAGGTTGACAGCTGGTTGACAGCTTTCAAGCATAAGTGATATTTGCAGTTTAATGATAATAACAATTATGTTTTAGTTCCCAAACAGTTTTACCTACTTTATTTCACTTAAGCCAAATGCAGCCCTATAGAGTTAATGTTTTCTAGTTCATCTTTAAGATAGAAAAACTGAGGTTCTGAAAGACTCAAAGATTTACTCACTCAAATTCACATTTCTGGCTCCAAGTCCACCAACAGTCTGCCAAGACCTTCCCAGCAGCAGTATTGAATTCATCAACTTGTGAGACAGGCCACTTGGGTGAATGAGGACAAATTATCCCTCCTGCTGAAGAGCACTAGAGCTCAGACTAGCCAAGCAGGTCTGTAATAGCCAGAGCATTCTGCCTGGAACAGGGATCAAATCAACTCTGGATATCCAAAAGTTTACAAGAAAATCTGGATCCATCCAAGATTCTGGGGTCACCTTCAATTTCTCCTACCAATTTACATTTTAGCTGGACTATTCTATCTTTAATCTTGATACTCTGATTTTCCCTCTGTATACCTTATATATTTTGACACTTCTTTTCATGAAATCCTTTGCCTGGCTCTGCCCATAGTTGTTACTTGATTTTTCTACCATATTAAACTCAGCCTAATTATTTATGGTCTTTATGCCTCCAGTAATAGTGGGCTCCTCCTTTCTTTTCCTGTAACATAGCACCCTATAACTGCTTATTACATTTCTTTCCACCCCCATGGAGGAGACTATTTAATGGACTCTAGAGACAGTACAAAAGCTCAGAATTCCATTCTTTGGGAAAATAAGAAAAACAGGAAATCAGATGTACAAGGGGGTCAGATTTTCAGTTAGTTGGGGGAGGGGAAGGAATGTTCTGGCCTTCAGAGGGGAGAGGAGTCCTCAGTTTAGGGGGCATACAAGTTGGTGTGTGTATCCCAGGATTTGAGGGATGAACCCCAGGAGGCTGAGGGTGAACTCCAGGAGTTGTTGGATGGACCCCAGGAAGATGCGGGTAAACAACTGGTGCCTTCTAACTTATCCCAGGGGCTATGGGTGCACCTCCAAGACTTGGGGGTGAATGCCAGAGTAGGTGAATGTACTCCTGGGGCTGGGGAGGTGAACCTCAGCCATTGGGGGACGGTGGACACTTGTGAACCCCAGGGGCTAGAGAGTAAACGTCTGGAGTGGGGGGGGGTGTGGACCCCTGGAGCATGGGGTACCCCAGATGTAGGTGGGTGAACCAATGGTGCTGGGAGCAATGGTGAACCCCAGGAGCTGGAGAGTGAACTTCGGATCTGGGGGTGGACCACTGGTGTTGGGGGAAGAACACCAAGAGCTGATGGGGCAGCTGGGGAGGCCCAGAGGGTCCCTGACGGTACAGGCTCGGTAGGGGGCATGCGTGAAAGGGGCAGCCCTCCTGGTGGGGGTGGAGGAAGAGGCTATACTCCCACTCCTAGTCTTGCCCACAGGTCTGTGCTGAAAGTCTTTGATGAAGGCCTTGAGGCTATGGGGACAGGGGAGAAACCCAGGCTCTAAGGCCCTTCACCAAAGCCTTCTCCCTGGCCAAGACTTTGCTGTCTGCTTATTACGTTTCTGTCTGTCTGTATTTTCTTCTTGATTGTAAACTCCTGACAGCACAGCTTGCTGATCCTAGTATCCCTGGTGCTGTGCACAGTCCCTTGAAAGTAGAAGGTGCCCAATAGCTATTTGTTGAATGAATGAGTAAATGAAATCCATACCTCTGTACTGCCTGGAGCTCCAAGTTATATACCTAATGCAGAGCACCCATCGTCATAGGTTTACACAGATAAATCTGTTCTTACTGTAGTCAGTTCCATAAAACATTATCAGCACCTCTGAGAAATGGAAGGCGGTCATCCACTTTCTGGCTTTGTTTTCATACATTTTAATATTTTCAAATTCCCTACTAGGAACACATTCATAAATTCAGTGACAGCATGTTCATTGGTTATAAAAAACCATATGCCATATCAACAATAATTAGTGATGATTCATCACAAGCTCTTATTGACTAGCTCCCCCCAAATTCTAAATATAAATTGCTTCTTGGACCAGAAGGACCCTGAGCTCCTTTCAGCTCTTGCGGTCCCCAAGCCTCACGAGGCACCTGCTGGGAGCCTCGGTCTATGGCCTGTTTGATCCTAAAGATGGCACGTGAACCATCTTCTCTCTGGTCTCAGACTGTGCACATATCAGTTTAAGTTAGAATGAAAACCTGCTGCTCCCCTACTCCTCCACCTTCTCCAAAGGCAACAAAGTCCCCATTTGCACAGGCAATAAGCCACCAATTAAGCTGTTAGATTATCAGTAGTAGGAATTGAGTCTATGAGTCTATAAAATCATTCACTTTCACTGCTGGGACAATTCAAGTCTCATAGGTTAATAAGTAATATGGCATTAGCAAACATCAGCTGGAGGAATTCCATCTCTGTTGAAACCGTTCTTAAAAATTGCCTCCTTCACCTTCTCCAATCCAGCTCCCACTTTCTGCAAAACTGGGGAAGATCCCCCTCTCCCCTCCCTTTCTCCTTGGCTTCTTTGACATGGTCCATGCTGGTATGAATCCTTCCTCTTCCAATACACCACTGTCACCCTCCTCAGGGTTCCTCTTCACACCTTTTCTGTCTGTACAGGGCCATCTAGTGCTTATCTTGCAGAAATGTTCTATGTCTCTTTATATCAACATCTGGACAAATAACCCCTGTCTAGTGGTTTCCCCTGTCCTGTGCAAATGGCATGTAATTTAGCTGTTTATCCTCTAAATTCCCAATGTCACCCCAGATTGTTCTGGGCCTTCATGACACACCTCTCTGCAGTTGTCTTGTTGCCAGCCAAAAAGGACAAAGAAGGACTCACTTTTGAGCATCACCTGTGGGTCCTCCCCTTCGACTAGTTTTCTCTGTTCATCCAGAAGTGCCTCCTTAAGTCTGACTCTTCAACAACGAGCGCAAAGTCAAGTTTATCTGCTCTCTGAACTGGCTCATGTACTTGGTTACCAGTTTACAACAAATTCAACTCAGCAGAAGCACTTTAATCACTATTTTACAGAGTAATTTTTCATTTGTTGGATCTTAAAATATTTGGACTTATATTTTGTATACAGTTTTATTTTATATTTAGTTAAGCCACTTTTATTTTATAAAATTTTTAATTCATACAAATTAGAAATAAAAATAATTTTATAAAACTGGCTCTTCGCTACATAATTTGGGACTCACTTCTGCCTAGGTTACTCGGATGGAAATGGTCTGCCACATGCACTTTGAGAACATTGCTGTTTAGGTTCATACCATTATACTGGGGCCCTGACTCAACCTCTGCCATGAAACTCACTCTAGACAATGGTGTTCACCCTGGCAGCATGTTAGAACCACCAAGGGAGCTTTTAAAATACTAATATAGAAATCATATGCCAAATCCATTATATCAGTCTCTCAAGGTAGGGCCTAAACATTGGCATTTTTTAAAAGCTCCCTGGGTGATTCAAATGTGCAGCCAGGGTTGACAGCCATCTGGCCTGAACCCTCTTATTTCATCATCTTGGACCACTCCCCTTGGCCTTCTGTGGTTTGGTTTGTGAAAGCCTGGCTCAAGAGCTCTTTCCAATAATACTTTAATCCAAAATGAAAGTAACAAATGAGGAAGGGGAAGCACTTCCAGTATACAGTATACTGGAATAAAGACCTACAAAAAGTAAAAGTAAGGAAAACAGTGGCAAAAGAGGAGGAGTCTAAAAATTAACCAAAGATTTGCAACATTCTGATAGCTGAATTTTGTGAGAACTGCATGCTTTTGTTATTTTAACTGCCTTACTCCATCACATAAGCTCCACAATAGCCTTGAAAACCAAGAACCTTGCAATGATGGCAACCATGAAAACTAGCATCTAAGGAGTCTCTGGAGGGAATAGAATGGGATTGGGATCAGAGCTTGCAAAAGCCCTCCCCCAGAGAATTATCACTATTTAACCTGTCTAGCAGCTTCATAAAGGGCTCCCGTCTCAGGGTTGTCTTTATTTGACCTGACTCAGAACTTGATCTGTAGGAACGCCTTATCCCAAGAGAATTGGTTAAAAACAATCATCAACAATTGTTTAATATCATAGCTGCCTGAGGCAGTGCTACTATTTGGGGTCTACAAGAAGCTGGTCAAAAAAAAATTAACAGGAAAAACTGTGGAATAAAGTTCTGTAAGGGACAATTGTAAAGTTCCAACATGGTCTATGGGATCTACAAGGCCACACAAAATGGTGCTAATTGGGATCTAGGAGGATTGGATGCTCTCACACTAGAGGAGGGAGGAGAGTATTTCAGGGCAGAATCTAATTCTACTGGGAAGGGGGATCGGTATTTCAAGGCAGGACCTATGCTACTGGGGAGGGGGTATTTCAGGGTAGGATCTAGTTACTGAGGAAGAGAGAGTATTATAGTGTTGTAGTATTATAGAGTATTATAGTGTTACTCTATAATATATAGAGTATTATAGTGTGTGTGTGTGTTTTGTGTGTTTGATGGGAGAGGGGGGTTACATTTTAGGGCAGAAGCTATGCTCCTGGGAGGAAGAGGTCAGAGTCAGATGGTGATGGTATGTATGGGAGGATTCTGTCTGGGTTACAGGGATAGATAGTATGGATAGGATGGTGCTAGGGAGAATTCTGATTGTAGCCAGAACTGTAAAAAGCACAGGAAGTCCCCAGGGTTCATGAAGGGAATTCTCAGTTATGGAGAGTCGATTAAAGTTAGCCAGATCCTCACTTTCAATAAAGAAAACAAGCTGATTCAGGTAACTAGGCTTCTAAGTAACATCCTACTCCACCCAGTACAGTATTTCTTCTGGGTGCAGATGTCCTTCCCAGAGCAATGCTTTCATGGAGCCAAATGCCTGTGTTGGGAAGGGGGAGTGACTAGATGAAAGGCTGGGACAGGTTGGAGGTCAGTTTCCAAGACAGAGCTTCACGTACTCGGCACCCTCTGCTCCCACCAGGCCCCAGAGGCTGTAGATGTGGCTGGTGATGGAGGTGTGGGTGGATCCAGAAGACAGAACCTGGAGCCAGGCAGGGAGACACTCCTCAGGACCGTTGAAGCTCCTGGGTCAAAGCTGCCTGAGAGCCAGCAGGGACAGGGCCCTGACCTAGTCAGAATTTTAGAGAGAAATGAACATTTTAAATTTACTTTGAAGGGAAAGGAAGCGACTGTTACTGATTTTTTTTTTTTTTTTTTTTTTTTTTATGTGACAGTTTCTTCGTGAAAGGTGTACATTTCATCAAAACAAGTGTTTGGTTCACTAGAATTAAATTTAAGGTACCCCACTGTGTGCTTTAGGTAGGGCAATGTTTACAACAGTCACAATCGCTGTGAGGTAAATCCCAGATTGAAATCCAAATCCGGGCGCTACCAAAGCCTTTGCTGCTTCTGCCAAGCCGGTGACCTCTGTTTCACCCCGGCCTGGGGTAAAGCAGCGCGCCTCAGTCAGACTGCCGCAAGGGGGCGCAGTTCTCGGCTCTTTCAGGGGCTTATTGGTGAGTGTGCGAGGCCGCCCTGGAACTCTTAGTGGATAACTGATGTAGTGGGGTCAGGACCATCACGAAATTTTTCAGGATAGAGGGATACAAGCAAAAAGAGACTCGAAGACAAAAGCAAATCTGTGTTTGGGGAGGAAAAATGATTTTTTTTTTTTTGCCTGTCTACTTCCTATTATTCCAACACGTGAACACTTTTTTTTCTTTACATTTTAACCTGACCTTTTAAAGGTCTCTTCTCTGAAACCCCTCTCAGTCCCCTGACTCCATTTCTTCTTGCCCAAGGTAAAATCTCATTCCCCCTTTCCCTACTACGCATCATTTCCTGCATGACAACATTGTTTTAAACCTTTCTCTGAGGCAGGGAGCCTGGCTCTAGCCCTCACGACTCCTGGGATTTCTCATCCCACTTGAAGGATGAGAAAACTGGGGTTCGTGACCGGGTCCAGGTGAAAAGGTCAGCCCCGCCCCTCCTGGGTCGCCCCGCACTCACCCTTTGGTGTATCATTCTGGCAACTTGTTACAGTTTCTCCACTGCCCACGCTCCCATTGGCCCACCACCCCGCTTCCCCATTGGCTAAGAAAGCCGGTGACAGGGCTGTGATTGGTCCCTACCCTGTACCTATGTGCGGGGTCTATCTTCTGCCGGGTGCAGGATCCTCACTCTCCACCCTGGCGCGTGGCAAGGGGTGACGGCTGCCAGGGCTTCGGTGGCCTCCCGAGTGTCCTGTGAGTGGGGACATCGTGTACGCACGGTACCCTCCTCCCTGAGTGTGAGTATCCTCTGAATGCTCATCTCCTGAAGGATGCCCTTGGGTGTGTGAGTCCTGGACACGTTGATTGATTCAATGCAGCGTAGTGGGACAGGTGAACATTTAGGTCCGCGTTCATATGTGTTTGTGTAAGTTGTCCTGACTCATACATATTTAAGAATGACTTAGGATTTTTTTTCAATCTGATATATGCATAAGGAGTCAAAGGAAGCTGCCTGTGGGTTGCAATATGTTGTCCAGTGTCTTGTACGGTTTGCCTGGCGTTTGCTAACGAAAATGGATCACCCTCAAATGTTTTCTGGAATGATACTTTAAAAGAATTGAACGTTTCTCTGAAACTTAGAAAAAGTGAAGCCACTTCTTCTTTAGTCTATGGAGACTAAAATGTCAGCTCTAAGTGGATATTAATTGGTGTTTCAATAGGAAAATATTTGGATATGAAAAGTGTGTTTTGCTTTATAAATGAGAAATAATAAAAATATGGCTTGGGACAGTGGGAAACTTCACAAAAGGCCCTTTTGGAAGAAGGGATCAATGGAACTCTCTTTTAACTTTGTTAGATTGAAAGGCTAGGCTTGGCAAGCTGATCCCATGGATAAGGTCAAACACAGAAATAAGTTTTTAAAGAGGAAATATGTTGGAGTTCTGGCCATTCTGAAATGCCTAATATTATTTTTGGCCCCAGTTTCCTACAGAATGAATTTAAGATTTGCACAGAGAAAATACCCAGTAATTTTTTTTTTTTAGAGAGAGAGAGAGAGAATTTTTTTTAATATTTATTTTTTAGTTTTCGATGGACACAACATCTTTATTTTATTTTTATGTGGTGCTGAGGATCGAACACAGTGCCCTGTGCATGCCAGGCGAGTGTGCTAAAACTCTTGAGCCACGTCCCCAGCCCTAGTAAATATTTTTTCATTGAATTGCAGCCCCCAGAATTCCTTAAGATGTGGCTTCTCGTGCTTTTGTATACTTAGAACTCTACTCCAGTTGGATCACGAGTTTCTTGTGCTGCTTCCCCTTGCTCCAGATAGTCACAGGATCATGACCATGATTGTAAAGGGAAAAAAGTGAGACCATAATCTAGTTAAATAATTTTCACTTCCTTTATACAAAAAAAAAAAATAAATCCTAAAGAATTTCTTGGCTCATCATAAAGATGGGCTCATGATCCAGGTCTTGAGCCAATCCTTAAACCAGTCTGCCTTTCCCTATAGTAGTTCATCCTTTGGTCATATAGCAGCTCTAAATACATTCCTGCATTGTCCCCCCCCCCCACACACACACACACATACCCTTGGGATTCTAAAGACTATCTACCTTCAAACCACCATCTGTATACTGAGTTTCATTCTTAAGACTATCTCCCTTCAAACCAATTTCTCTGTACTGAGTTCCCTCTATTCTCATGCATTTCAGATGCCCAAACATTAACACTACCCTCTCCAACCATGCCCACTTTGCTGAGTAAGAATGTGATATCCAGGTTCTTGCCCCTGTATAACCACTCCACCTTTCTTACAAAGGAATTGGCCAATGCCACCTTGAAAGGAGCTTTTTAAAGCTTTTCAAATGGGTTGCCTCCCACTGTGAATCTTGCCAAGAACTGAATTCATGTGACAGTGAACACTTGGGATCCAGAGAGGTCTGTAAAATGTTATTTCCCCTCTATCAATTTTTTCTCTTAATCTTCATTTCCTTCAGCTTGTTCCAACTCAGCATCTCTGCTCCTTCCCATGCCTGGAAGAGTTTGTCCTCATGGGCCAGGCAATAGAATTCTTAGCGGGTTAAGTCTGGGAGAAGCAACCAGGAAAGGGAGTGTGTGATGAACCATTCTGTATCATGGGAAGGACACCATCATCACTTGGTACATGAGTCCTGACCAAGGATTTTACTGACCTGTTGGCAAAACAAGATTAGGTTAGAAACTAGTGTGGCCTGGGGATGAGATGCTTTTTTAAGTTCCGGGGGAACTTTAAAGACACATTAGCTCTAGATAGGAAGAAACTGGGGGTAGGGGCGGAGAAGGTGGCACTATAGGTAACAGGAAGAGCAGTGGAAACTGTATGGAGGTTAACAGGCAGAAGACCAAAAGTGTATCCTGTTAAAAAATCAAAGTGAGAGGAAGGGAAACTTGGGAGATTCTGAATTTTCAAGGATATTAAAATGCGGACTCGTAGCCCTGGAAGTGGAGCTGCCGGTGGTACACTCTACACTGCTCTAATTCCTTGCACTGTTGGGAGCCGCTTTCTTAATACACTTTTGTCCACGGAGGGTTTTGATTTAAAAAAAAAAAAAGTTTTTTATTTTAAATAAAAGATCACTTCTTGGGCTGGGGTTGTGGCTCAGCGGAAGAGCACTTGCATAGCATTTGCACATAATAATAAATAAATAAAACAAAGGCACTAAAAATAATAATTAAAAAAAGATCACTTCTTGATCTCATTTTACACTACACATGGGCCCCCTTTCACAAGATGTTCCATTCCCCCTTTCTAAGGAAAAGAGCTAACTTTGGCTAGGTGCAGTGGTACATACCTGTAATCCCAGAGACTCAGAAAGCTGAAGCAGGAAGATTGTGAGTTTGAGACCAGCCTCAGCAAAATTTTGTGAGACCCTGTCTCAAAATAAAATAAAAAAATAAGGCTAGGAATGTAACTCTCAGAGTGCCTCTGGAATAAATCCCTAGTGCCACAAAAGAAAAAGAATAAAAAACCCTAAATTTAAATTAAGGCAGAGGAGACTCCTGTCTCCCCTCCCCCATTTGAGACAATGACTTCTTTGTCACTTGTCCCAGACCAGCCAGCCCTTTGCACCAATCTTAGGTGCTAACCAAACATATATAAATGTATTATTGCAACAAAAAGCTTGTTCTGAAAAATGTTAACCAATGCCCCTATTGGGGCCACAGAAAACCAAATTCCAAGCCAATAAAGATAACTGGGAAAGAATGCCTTTTGGAATCATAGCAACATCACTGCGTGGTGAGCAGGAGGAGCAGCATTTATGGGAAGGATATTGAAAATTACACACGTTCCACTTAAGTTTAATATCTGTTGGGCTTCACTCTCCCCTTCAAGCAGAGGGGAGGTTCTGTTCCTAGCTCTCCTAAAGTGTCACGGCTCCCCAACCCAAAGGGAAAATTTTTCCAGTCTCCTGACTAGGTGGAGGGAGGTGACTGCCTCAGCTCCAGGCAGGTGGCCAAGATATGCTGGCACTGTTCCCACCCCTTGAGGTGGGCAGTGAAGGTCCACAGAAGCAAGCCCCCTCTTGCAGGGGGCTGGAGGCAGAAGACGGTACCCATATCCAGTGACTGTACCCATAGCCATCTAGATATCAGAGTGTGTTTTAGCAGAAGTCTTAAAGGAAACTCAAATCATTGGCATTGGCATTGACATGGAGAGAGCTCCAGATTCCCCATATCCCAGAGGGCTTTGATATTAATATTTGATGACTGTTAGAGAATTTGAGGTCCCAGGAGGACTCTGGTTAATTTTATACTTTCATTTACCTAGAGTAAGTTTTCCCACAGGCTTCCCATTTTGTGTGTTTTCTTAGTCCATGTTCTGTTGCTGTAACAAAACACCAGAGTGGGTGAATTACAAACAATAGAAGTTTATTCTTCTCAGGGTTCTGGAGGCTGGGAAATTCAAAATCAGGAAGACATATGTAGTAAAGGACTTCTTCCTGAAGCATGACATGGCAAAATGTGTCTTATGGCAAAAGATTGTCTTGTGGTGAGGAAGCACGAGAGTACAGGAGCATGAAAGTGAGGAAGAGAGGATAGTAGGGGACAGAACTCATCTTTTCATCAGGAGCCCATTCCTATGATAACCCACTCCAGAGATAAAATTAATCCATTCATGAGGGGAGATCCCTCATGGCCCATCCACTTCTAAAAGGTCCCACCTCTTAATACTGTCATAATGACAAACTTCAACCTGAGTCTTAGAGAGGACATTCAAATCACAGCATTCTAATATTTTCAACAGTCTTCCCCAGTGACTGACATACTCAAAAATTGGCAAAAGCCTGTCCAAAGTCATTCGATGTCCCTATATTGCAGGAATGAGCTCAGGGGAGAGTGGACCCAGCAGAAACCTCCCATTCTAATTCACTCAGAACTGAACTCTGAGCACCTGTTGGGAGCTGGGTGGGTACCAGGCACTGGGGGTACAGATGTAAAGATGCAGGCTCTCTGCTCAAAGAACCATGGGGTGTGGGAAGCAACTCTCCTCTGAGTGTATGTGGGGTGTGCCCTTCTCTGATAGAAGGGGCCAGGCTCAGGCAAGACGCCCTCATCTCTGCCTGTCATTAAAACAGACATGATTCAGACGTTAGAACAATCTATCTAATCCAGACTGATTCTGGATCAGTCCCACAATCACCTCATTTAGGGAAGGGCTCCTGGTTTGCAAGCTTAGAAGTGACACAAGCCAACGTAATGATCATCTTCCGACCCCACCAGAAGCAAGACAAGGCTTCCACTTCCACCTCCCCATAAAGTAACAGGTAACTTTTTGCTTTTCTGGGAGATCTGTGTGTTCTCTTCTTTTCCTTCTTTTTGAGGTATAGTATATCTAAGGAAAGGCTCATGAATCTAGAGTGGATCCTTATTGGATGTGTGTGTGTGTGTGTGTGTGTGTGTGTGTACACCAGTGCAACTCTACCCAGATCAAAGGGGCCATTCTTAAGTTTGCAAAGATCTCACAGGGTAGGACATGCACCCATTCAGCTTTGAACAGACTGTGAGACACAGTATCTCAAGGTCTCACTGTTGTCCTTGACAATGGAGATGAACAAATGGCTAGTGAGTACCTGCAGTGTGCTAGAACCTTCATGGGGTAAGCTCCATCACCTCTCACCTGGAAATCCAACCTAGGTGGCTTGTGATTTTGGGGAGCCAAGCATCAGTAACATATTTTGTGTCACCTTAACTTATTTTTTGTCTGTTATCAATTATATTATAATACTTGGGGACTTTTACTTGAGAGATACCTCTTTCTGACAATCTGCCTTCCCTTTGTCCTTGATGTTGTATCATTATTATTGCGGGTAAAAAGAAGCATAATATTATGTTACAGCTTATAATGGCGACCTCTGGAGAAGGCAGCCAGCCCAGTGGCACAGCAACACCCAGGCCACTGGCACAGCTGCAGGAGCTCGAACCGCGGGTAGCCCGCAGACGCCTGTCCCAGGCCCGCCATAGGGCCACCCTGGCAGGGCTCTTCACCAACCTAAGGAAGACTGTTTACTCCCAGTCTGAGCTCACAGCCTCGAAGGTACGGGGACCTCAGTGTGGGGCCTGGCCCTGCCACCCTTGCTGCACAAGGCTGAGGGCTGGGCCTCCGTGTGGTCGGTGATCATCGGTGGATGCCTCGGGGGGCTATACCTGCTGTGAGAGATGGGCCTTTTCTACCTGCAGCAGACCAGACTGGCATAAGTAAAGCAATTATGGGCCTGAGGAGGGGCCTAGTTTGCCAGCCGCTTCTGTGCCTGTCCACTCAACAGGCAGTGGCCTTTAGCACACGCTCAGGCACCCTGTACATCTACCCAAACACACACACCTGTGTGCACACACGACACCACACACACGTGCACACACCATAGACATACACGCATGTATGCATCATACCATTAGCTCACACATACACGTGGTCACATGCCACACATGCGTGCACACCCCCAGTTTATATACATAATCCAGGTCTTTCCCCCAGGCAACAGGGCTCTCCAGGTAAGTATTTATCTTTTCCTGTTCTTAATTGTGCTTTTAATTGCTAACTAGCAATCAATAAATCAATTATCTAGCAGAGCATGGAGGTCCAAGTATATTGGGGTGATGGAAGGAATGGAGTAGTCATAATGGTGGAAGCATTATAGAAGGTCAGAGTGGAGGAGTCCCCCACGAGGTGCAGTTCCCCACCCCCTTTTAGTAAAGGAGAAATCCTTTTTGTAAAGGAGTTGAGCAAGGACTTACTAGCTGGTCAGAAAGAGTCCTTGTTCCTACTCCAGGTCTGGCCCTCTCCCCATCCTCTACCTCTCTGGATTATCCTGTTGTCCTGTGTCTGTAGAATGGTATAGAGGCCTGGTGAGGGATGGAGGGAGGACTGTCCTTCCCCTCTCTGCTAAGTTGGGCTCAGGATCCAGTAGGAGGATGGTACATCTGGGCCTTTCTGTCAAGAACCTGACCAGCATAGCTATGCTTCATGTCCATTGGATGAAGAGACGCTTGCTCCTTGCTTCCAGAGGTGCATGAAAACCTAAGTTCCTGACATAGGCCCATGGGTACGTGCATATAGGTTGGCAGCAGGAACAAAGAAAAAAATAGACCTTCAGAACCTCACAGTAAGAAGTCAAGTAAATCCAGAGGAAAACCACATCCATATCCCTAAAATTTGTGCCACGTGACTTAGCATGTGAGAGCATGGCTATTAACTGGTCTCAGTGATGGCAGGCAAGTGACTTCTGGCCTTCAGTCAACATGTCCATTAAATAGAGAGGATAGGAATGGCTGCCTAATAGGCCTAGAATAGGGTTTAATGGGATATTCCAACACAGCATGGTTCTTAGAGCCTTAAAATGTTAGAATCATTATTCCCCAATATATTACCTTATTTATCCCCCACAGCTCTATTCCTATCATTCTCATTGTACGGGTCAGGAAACTGAGACTTCAGAAGATTAAATTACTGGCTTTAAATGATGCAGCCAGGAAAATATCTGGAACTCAGCTGTTCTCTGTATTCTTCTTTCTCTATCGTACTTGAGGGAAGGCCCAGGATTGTGCATGAATAAGGGAGTTGTTGTTCTATAAGTCTAATGGTGTAACAAGGTCTCATGAGTCCTTTAGGGCTGCCATAACAAAATATCAGAAACTGGGCAGCTTAAAACAACAGAAATTTATTGACTTATGGCTCTCAATGCTGGAAGTCCAAGCTCAAGGTTTCACATGGCCAAGCTCCCTCTGAAGGCTCTAGGGGAAAACCTTTTTACCTCTGCTAGCCTCTGGCATTTGCCAGCAGTGCTTGGCTTGCAGGTGCATCATTCTGGCCACATGGCCACGTTCCCCCAGTGACTTCACACCATCTTCCCTCTCTGGGTGTCTATCTCTTTGTCCACATTTTTCCTTTTTGTAAGGACATGGGTCATACTGAATTGAGGCCCAATCTAAGGACTTCATTTTAACTTGGTTACTCTATAAAGTCTCTGTTTCCAAATAAGGTCACAGGCATAAGTTTCAGGAGTTAGGACTTCAACATCTTTCTTGGGGTGGGAGGACATAAATCCACCCAAAACAAAGGTCCTACAAAAATTAGCACTCCCAAAACATTCTAGAAACAGAATTTCTATGAATGGCACCTGGTTTCCCTGGATTGGTTTGATGCAGTAAGGGTGCAAGCAGGCCTGAATTGTCCTGCTGAGCCAGCGTGGGCAACTCATCCTGGACCAGAGGAATAGAGTTGGAGTCCATTCAGGCTGCTATAGAAAAATACCTTAGACCGAATAATTTATTATCAGAAATTTTCTGCTCACAGTTCTGGAGATTGGAATTTCCATAATCCAGACACCCACAGATTCAGTGTCTGAAGAGGGCCAGCTCTCTGGCTCACAGGTGGCACCTTGTTCATGGCACCTCACATGGCAAAAACAGCAAGTAAACTCCCTCAGGCCTCTTTTATTAGGGCACTAATCCAAATAGGGCCTCTACTGTAAAGCACCTCCCCAAGGAAGGACTGTAGGGAAAGGCGAAATACCAGGGAGTGATATTGGCCAAATTATATTAATGTATTATGCGCATGAACAAATACATTAACAGTGAATCATACCATTATGTATAATGTATTATACATTATAATACATAATATAATTATGTATTATAATGTATAATACATTATGTATACTTAAACACACCAATAAAAATAGGGAAAAGAAAGAAAGAAAGGAAAAGAAAGAAAGCACCTTCTTGAAGACCCCATCTCCTATTACCCTCACATGGGGGGGGGGCAGGTTTCCAACATATGTGTTCGGGGGAACATAAACATTTAAACCATAGAAGCTGGGGAATCACCTTCTCACCCTAAGAACAAACCCAAGATTCTGGCCCCTCGTTCTGAGTCCTTGCTGCTTTGACACCATAGCCATGACAGACTAGGTCAACAGTGGATAGGAAGAAGGGGTGGGCCTTGCTCAAGAAGTGTTCAGAGGTTTTGCAATTAACTGTACTCTCACATAGGTGTTGTTCCGGTCACCTGGTCTTTGGGTCAGCAAAGCATCGTGCTTCCAGCTCCCCTTAAGTCTCTTTTTATGCACCATCAGAATCCCCAAGAATCTAGAATAACAAAACCCAGGCTGCCACCCGCTAGCTTCTGTAACTTCCTCTCCCACTGCCCATCCCAACTCTGGCCACATCTCACTGTGGCAGTGCCCTGATCAAGGCTGGCCTGGCCTGCGTCTGTCTTTACTCACACAGTTATTTGTTCCTTTGAGACTGTGTACTCTCCAGAGCTCTGTCTGGCTCACTCTGCTGCCTCGTTCCATGGAAGTTTTCCCCCTGCAGTCAGAATATTCTCTCCTTCCTATATATTTCCACAGCCCTTTGCTTCTACCCCTGGTTAGCCCTTACTTAATTTCATCTTGTGTTAAGGAGAGCTGTTGCCATGCTTGTCTTCCCTGTTAGAATATCAGCACCTTGATGACGGGACCATCTTGTTGACCCTGTATTCCTGGGGCCCAGAACACAGCTTTGGGCTTATGCATACCTGAAGGAGGCCATGACCCATGGCAGATGTGGGTGCTCAGCCTCACAAACGACACTTAGGGTTTCTTGCTTTTGAATGGTCTTGCAGTTTCTATTTTGACACACAGGAAAGGAGGGAGGGAGGGAGGGAGGAAGGGAGGAAGGAAGGAAGGAAGGAAGGAAGGAAGGGGATGAGGAGGGAGGAGAGGTTGGATAGAGAGAGGGACAAAAGAAAGAAAGCATGGAGGGAGAGAAGGAAGGGGAAATGCAAAGTTCAAGTTCATAGAGCAAGTTTTTAGATCATCTGGAGTGTATGCATTTAGTGAACACATATTGTGAGATTAGTAATGTAATATTAACCAGCCAGTTGCACATGGTCAAAACTAAGCAGAAGTCTTGCCTGTGCATTTGGACAAGGCTGGGGTTAACATTCATTTGGTGGTGCCTCCTCTGGCACCTTATCCCACCTTCTGGTAGCCTGTATAGTCACTTGCTTTCCTCAGTTTGCTGAATGCAGCTCATTTCCAAATACTTTGGTATTTCAGTGAGAACTCATTTCTAGGATACAAAGGAGATTTGTGCCTTCTGTGCACTAGAATAAATTTTCCAATCTTTTCACCATCAAGGCCAAAGATGTAACTTTGCATCTGAGACAATGAATATGGCCTTAGGCTAGGGTGGGGGTTCCTGGGTCCACAAAAGCAGTCTCTGCAGTGAAAGGCTATATTTCCAGCACTGTCTCTGTCCTCAGTGGCAGGTTCTGAATAAGGCGAAGAATCACATTCAGGAACTGGAACAAACCC